ATCTTTGAAAATATTACTCCCCATATTACTCTAGGAGCATTTGAAAAGTCATCTAAATTTCGGAAATTTCATATATTTTTTATCATAATATTTTTATTTGTTACCATTTATAATGAACGGCTATAAGGTACAACGGTAATATTTAGTAACATTATGTAAAAAAACAAGTTGCCGTACATTATTCTCTGATTTTACAGCAGTAAGAACTTGGTAAATCCTGAAATTTCGATAAATATTTATTTACACAAATATTAACTATAAGTTTTGGACGGCATAATTATAAAACATTATTGTCCGTGTTAAATAATATTTTGAACATGTTGCCGTACATTTTACAATGACCTTAGGGTATATGGGTGTAGGGGTAGTGTTCCGACCCTTGGCTTTCGACCGCTCCGCTGGAAATATGTACGGCGTTTACGGGTAAAGTATCTGTATATGTGTCCAAAAGGAATCACACAAATGCCGTACAGTAATAAATGACCTATATTGCTCCTGCAACTGTCGTCGAATTAAAAATTTGCACCGACTTCCGGCACCATCACTTTAGTACGGCACTAGGTTTTTCGACATTTATTTTTAATCATCTATACACTTGTAACAAAGCCGTACATTAATAATTAGTCAAAATTCCCCAATTGTACCTGAGAAAGTCCATTCACTCACGTACTCACATGTACCGCTCAGAGCTATTTTCAGATATAGTAACAGCCTTCTAAGCGTAATTCACGTTGGGTCATTTCACAGGTATTTTTTGTTCATGGGCTTGTGGTCTATAAACTTAATGTAGGATTATTTGTATAACGTTAGAAGTTTCTTAATTTGAAAGCACACAAAACAACCTAAATTATGTTTTGTTATTTATTAAACATATTTAATCTAGTATAGGTAGATAGTATTTACAAGTTGTTAAAGCGTGTCCTGTGTCTGTGTTAGGTTTTGGCACCTCTGAGTCATGCCAAGATACGTAGTAAGTAATTTTTATATGATTTGTATCTGGATAGATTGACTAACTCAGAATCCGTAGATTGGGAAATTTTATTATAAGGGAAGGTGCCCCGAAATGCAAAGAAGCGCTCATAGAAGTTTTATTTATTTTGGTTTGAAGTCTTTGTATATTAAGTAATATTATATTTGAGTTTTTAGATTTGAATTATGTTAAGTAAGAGAGGAGCACGAGTTTTCTAGAAGACTAGAAAGACTTCTCTTTGGAGATTTGAGATCGACTCGTTTTATTAAAAAATATTTATATTGTAAATTATATGAATAATTATAAGAATATACAATCGTTTTTTAAAATTAAATCTGATTGCAAATTGTAGGTATTATTAAGAAAGTTGAAATGTAGATAAGAATAACTAGAATATATTATAGTTTATTAAAACCGAAACATAATAATCAATATACAGTATTTACAATTTTCCTTAAACCTACATAGTAATAATACAAATAATAAAAATAAAAAAATTCAAACAAATTTTAAAAGTTTGGTCCTTGTGGCACTGTACCTTTAACGATGCCATTTCCTCGCTGTATTGCGATACTTGTTCATGGAGCGAGGAAAGCACCAGCTCTGGGGTTACCGGTACTATCTACCAGGCACCAACTTAAATCTTTAATTAGCGCCTTTGCACTTGAACCCCACGGCCCAAGGGTCTCTACTACAAAGGGAATATAATCTAAATATATATGTAATATATATTATACTTCTGTTAAGAATATTGTGTATACTCTAAATACAAATTAATTCGTACTAAATATGATACGGTAACTTTCCCCGAGTTTCAATAGTTTAAATTTTTGTAAAGTTTATTTTCAGGAAAAGTGTGATTTATAAAACTATAAATGTTGGTCGCTGGAGCTTATCTGGCTGGTCTTTTTATTGCACCACCCTTAGCATCAGTATTTAGGTACTTGATCTGACAGTAGGAGTCTAATTCCAAAATGTCCAACTATCAGATACGAATTTAATACTGAAATTAATAATTTTTAATCGCTGTACGGCTCTGGCTGCTTTGGATATAGCCAGTGGCGTAACAATAGGGTGGCAGGGCTGGCAAAATGCCACGGGCCTCCTACCCAAGAGATATTATGTTCTATGAATGAATGGGCTAGCGTGGGGACTACAGGCCATTCGCTGTCGCCTTAGAGAGGAAGCCTATGGCCATTACTGAGACATATGCAACGTGTAATTGAGTACTCTGAAAATCTCGAAGTTTTTTAAAAATAAACTGATAGGGCCCCATCAAAAGAATTGCCACGAAAGATTTGCCACGGGCCCCAAATGGTAGGTATAGTTACGCAACTGGATACAGCGACACATTCACGTTGAAAAATCGAGCAGTGAGCCTAAAAGTAAATGAATGTTGATGTTGCGATCTATCATCTAGAGAGCATATGCCATGACTGAGCCACCAGTATACGTAGCTCGTTCAGAGTAGACTGATCATGTTCCTCTTCTCTCATTTGTACATGATATTTCATATTGAAAATGTCTTGATTAGCGATCACATGGCGCGACTATGAGCGGTTGATTCTCCATCGCTCTGTTGAAAATAGCTCTGTGTGTAGTGGTACTCCATAGACCTAAACTCTGATTTTTAATTCCGTAAAATTCTGACATTTCATCAGTGTTGCTACTAAAAAGTTTTCCACCGAAAAATAATAATAAAATGTACGTATTTTTTATGTTTTACCTACAAAAAGGTAGTTCTAAATATTTACTTACTTAAGTGACCTGATACAAAAATAACAAATATTTCAATATCACGAACAATATATCGAAATAACTTTAAAGTAATTCAAGTTAATTAGTGCATATCAGTTAGGTCTGCGAATCGGACATCTATTTTTCATCCCCCTAAATGTTAAGTGGTGATACAACATACAAAAATACATACAACCCTTAATTTTCACCCCTATTTTTTATTTGTTTATTTAAAAGTTATGACTTGAACTCTGAGGTTTATATATAGAAAATTTCACAGAAAAACCTAAAAAGTTTTCATTCCAGAAAACTGAATGGGGTAGCATAGCAAAATTTTCCATGGCATGTACTAAAAAGGTAGGCTAAGTAAAATCACATTAAGAAGAAACGAAGTTCGCGGGGGCGGCTAGTATTATTATAATCGAAGTAAATAGGGTATTTAAGGCTCAAAAGAAATGTATTAGAGAAATTTGTGGAGAAAACTGTCTTGAGAGTTGCGTACCTTAATTTAAGAAGCTCAAAATTGTATTTTTTCCTTGTATTTATATTTTAGAAATATCCTTATTCATGCACAGAAACATACATATTTTTTTAAGTCGAAGTAAGAAGTAGACATGGGGAGAAATTGGCTGTGCCAAAAATCAATCTGGAACTGTTTCGGAAAAACACCTTTTGCATGGCAATTAGGGTTTACAAAAAAGTACCAAAAGAATTAAAAGATTTTCCGAATAGTCTTTAAAAAGCGACTTGGTGTATTACTTTTGAAAAAAAATTTACTATTCAATAAATGATTATTTGCGTGAGACACTGTAGTTGATATAAATTTAATAAAGTATGATATACGTACGATACAGATAATATAAGAATTGACTAATTCATATGATTAGTAATGTAAAATTTCTTTAAAGACAAATTTGCGCGCCATTGTGTGTGGCAGAATATGCGAACTTACGATTGTACCACCTTACACATTTTTTATAATTCAACAAATTAATTATTATTATTACTAATTTTACAGACTTTCGTGGATGGCGACATAAAAATGGTTAAAAAACGATGATCTAATCACTACACTAGGGTGATAATAAAATACGAAAATTCAAGTTATACTTTAATTACATGATTACATCATTCAAGAAATAAATATCACTTAATCTTATTGTACTTTAAATTAATGATATCTACAAAGGAACATGTAATAATAATACTTATTGCTGTTACACGTAATGTCAAAAAACAACACAATTTATACTCAAAGTCGTCACTTTTAATATAGATTCTAAAAGACGGCGTAATGCCCGAAAGTTAATGGGGCCGTTCAAGTACTTAACACATACTACCTACAAATTGTGGGGATATACTTGAACGGACCCAAAACGGCGATCCTTCTAAAGTTTGACTTAATTACCAACTCTGAGTACGGCTGACTAAACTAAATGAAAAATAAATAACATGTAAACTACTGAGTTTCAAGAGTACAACACTGACGAAGCATGATTGTAACGTCGGCAAATTTCTTGACATTGACAGTTGTCTGACAGTGACATTGATCGATGACATGTATAGAACAGATTACAAATACAACGTAGATGTCAACTGACGTCTATCGTTGCCATGACAACCAGAGTAGACAATTTTTTTGGAAAATTACTTACTTTTATTAAATTTATTTTCTGTTCAAATGTTCAAGATATTTGCCCGATAATTTTTAATCTACTCGTTTCGAAATAAGTGATCACCAAAATTATTCCGACTTGGCTGTATCAAGATTTATATAACATTTCATTAATAAACTCTATAAAAACTAACGAATTTTATATCAAAAACAGAAAATATAAATTTTAATCATTCAAATTCAGCTCTGTATTCAAACAAAAATTAATTGAAATGAATACGGCCTGTTGTATTTATTTCTAGAGTGATAAGATTCGTTTGATAAATTTGAGAAAATTTCAATTTATGCCAGTACGAATTCAGCCTGTACAGTTATATACCTTGAGAGGCTGTACATTTTGTAGAAGCAAAGGCTGTACATTTTTGGCAGAACAAAGGCTGTACATTGTAGAACCTAAAGGGACTCTGTGACCTTCAAACTTGTAAATCTTTTTTTTGGGTTATAACAATGAGTGTTTCTTTTGTAAATGTTAACTTAAGGCAAAACGATGCAAGCGCATCTTTATTAATACTCTATCAAAATCATTGTAGAGCTACAGATCCATATGATACATATTTTAGACACTAAGCACAGGCAATCATTTAGAAGTGGATACAGCCAAGTTTAAATATGCGAAATCTACATCATATATTTAGGTATTTGGAGTCGGACCTCAACTCCGGCCTTCTTGGCCAATGCCACAATCTCTGAGAGCTGTACGACCAGTTGGGCCGCCTCGTCCAGATCGTCGCGTGGCACTATACGTAGCCCGGATTCGGCTATCAACTTACGGGCTTCGGTGACTTTAGTGCCCTGGAATATAGATGTATTACATTAGCCTCTTTCTTGAAAAAAAATACATTTTATTGTCTTCGACGTTTTTATATTCTATGGCGAAGACCATAAAGTTAAAATTCACTTGAATCTTGACAGTTGACAGAATGGTAAAAATCATCGCATTTAAATATCTAAATCTAAAATATTAATATACTATAATACTAAAGCGCGGCGCAGTGAGTTAGCGCAATTAGGTAATGACGCACTCTAGACATGACATTGCAGTAATTTCGACAACATAAATGTCTATATTAAAGAGCCCTCGTTGAGTGTCCATGGGCGTATCACTATTGCATCAGGTGAGCCGTCTGCCCATTTGCACTCTGATCTATAAAAAAAACTTCCACTGGTATGCTTAGATCTGGCAATATTATTACAATCATTTCTTAATAGAGAAGTTACGTATTTCTAAATGTATAGCGTTTTGACATACAACATTCTATACATATATACTTTGGTTTTTAATTACGTAGAATTCTGACAGCTATCATTGTTTGACATGACATTTTTCAATTTCAATACGAATCTATACATACATTTTATTTGTTAGTGAATGTATCCATTTAAAGAGGTTTACGGCGATTCATAATTACGTTCCTTTTCATCACAAACAGTAAAAAACGCACAAGTAAAGATAACATTTTAATTTTTTTTAAAGGTTTGCTAAACCTGCAATTAGTAGGCAGTGATGCCAGCTAAAGAATAAAATAAAGTAATTAAAGTTAGTTCGATATATTGTTCGTGATATTGAAATATTTGTTATTTTTGTTTTAGGTTACTTGAGTATGTAAATATTTAGATTTACCATTTTGTAGGTAAAACATAGAAAATGCGTAGCAATTTATTTTTTATTGCCCTCAAATGAGTCAAATTTGTCCCTTTTTCGGTGGAGAACTTTTTTAGTAGCAACCCTAATGAAATGTCAGAATTCTACGGAATGAAAAATCAGAGTATAGTGTTTTGACATACAACATTCTATATATTAGGTCCTTACAAATGAAATTGGCGTTTTGTATGGGAGGAACAAAAAGTCGAATATTTTTAAATATAATATATTTAATTAATCAAAGTATGAACCATTGTTTTCTATACACTTTTGCCATCTCATAGGTAGTTCATTGATCCCTTTACTAAAAAAAACCAGTCGGACGGGAATCAATAAAATCTGTGAAGGCGGTTTGGACTGCCCCATCAGAGTTAATTTTTTTCCCTTGCAAGAAGTTGTCCAAATTTCGAAAAAAATGGTAATCTGTTGGAGCAAGGTCCGGGGAGTACGGAGAATGTCTTAGACATTCCAATTGAAGCTCTTCTAATTTGGTAGCCGTCTGTTGTGCAGTGTGTGGTCTAGCGTTGTCGTGAAGTAGCAGTGGCGTGGAGCGATTGACCAGCCTAGGTTGTTTAGCCGCTAGCTTTTCCATCATGGTTTGCAATTGCTGACAATAGACATCAGCCGTAATAGTCTGGCCAGATTTGAGAAAACTGCAATGAACAATACCGGCACTAGTCCACCAAACGCTTACAAGTAACTTTTTGGGGTTAATTTTCGCTTGGGGCAGAATTTGGCTGGCTGGCCAGGATCCAACTATTGCGCTGAGCGCTTTCGATTATCGTAAAGAATCCATTTTTCATCACAGGTAATGATTCGGTTTAAAATACCTTCATTATTGTGCCGGTTCAGTAATGTAACGCAGCAGTCGACGCGCGTTTGCCGGTTTGCTTCAGTCAATTCGTGAGGTACCCATCTTTCAAGCTTTTTAATATTCCCAATTTGCTTCAAGTGAATTAAAACAGTTTTATCACTAACACCGCAGCCTGCAGCTAACTCGGACGTGGTTTGCGATGGTTCCGCTTCCACAATAGCCTTCAATACTTCATTATCAACTTGGGTCTCAGGCCGTCCACGGGGCTTGTTCTGCAGGTCGAAATTTCCAGAACGAAAACGTTGGAACCAAAAACGAACTGTGTTTTCTTTTGCAACATGACCACCATACACATAATTCACCCTTCGAGTCGTTTCCGCAGCACTAGTGCCACGGCGGAACTCGTACTCGTAAATAAAGCGATACTTTAAGTTTTCCATTTTGTAAAATGTGTGACGCAAACAGAAAAAAACAAATGAATGACGGTCATCGAAGCACAAATACATGAGTAAATGCTGTACAAATTTGAATTCCTTACCAAAGAGGAGAACATCGTGATTAAAGTGGCCAGTACGAAATACGCCAATTTCATATGTAAGGACCTAATATATAGATAGCGTTTTGACATTTCTTTCTACTAAGTTTTATAATGTCTTAGCGATATATTACCTGTAGACGAACGATGACCGGAATCTGAATGTCCAGGTTCTTGGCCGCGTTAATGATACCCTCAGCGATGACGTCACACCGCATAATACCTCCAAAGATGTTCACCAAAATGGCCGACACGTTCGGATCAGACAGGATGATTTTGAACGCTTCCTGAAATTGTATATTCATAATAACAGATTAATAAGCCGAGTGGTTAAATAATTTCCTAATATATACAGTCAAAACCGTTTACGACGACATCGTTTGGAACAACATACCGGTTTTATTGACTAAAATCAGATATCCCGGCTGAATTCTATAGTATTAGGCTTAATAACACGTCATCGGCTGTTACGCCTATCCGTTTTTACAATCAAATATGAGTACCTTCATGTTGTTATAACAAATTTTGACTGTATATACATATTTCTATTCCTATATATACACAGGGAGGGGATCTTTCCTCTCTCCCCCCGCCCCTACGCTCTTGTTACAGTGAGTTACGTATTTTACCAGGTCAACTGGACGCTCCAGTATGGTCATTATATAATGACATGGTCTGTTTGTTCATTAACATAAAAAATGGCCGACCTACCCTTTCGCTTAGACGTATATACAAAATTATTTAAATTTTTATTAGCTTTTATTATAAACTAGTTAGTGCCCGCGATTTCGTCTGAGCAGGATTAAAAAACATTTGTCCAAATGATGTAGCGTGAAAGACATATTTTATCTACTTTAAATACCAGAAGCGATAAGTCTATTTTCGTTTAGAAATCAATTTATTACTACCAAATTTGCATTTAAAATAAATTATCAATTTTTATTGTACGTAGTTGGTCCCAAAGTTCTGTCACTGGCACATTATTTTTAAATTACGAACATGATTTTATAAAAAAATTATTGCATTCTATTTTTGATTGTTTGACTATTGTTTTAAAACAAAAAACAATCACTTTCCGTAAATTTTCAAGATGGAGTGGACATTGAGGTTCATATTTGCGAAAAGGGGGTCAAAACCAGTGCAAAAGTGTATCAAGACACGGTTTTGGACCAGCTTGTCAAAGACCTGCCCAGCACGCTATTTTCGGGACATCACTTTGTGTTCCAACAGGACTCTGCGCCTGCACACAAAGCCAAGACCACTCAAACCTGGTTTGAGCGTCAAAACATCGACTTAATTAGACATGAGGATTGGCCTTCCTCCAGTCCAGACCTTAATCCTTTGGACTATAAAATTTGGCAGGTCTTAGAGAGGAAGGTCTGTGATAAACCCCATAAAAATTTGGAGTGTCTGAAGTCATCTTTAAAAAAAGCAGTCACTGAAATCGACATGAATATGGTGCGTGCTGCGATAGACGACTGGCCGCGGCGCTTATGGGCCTGTATTAAAAATAAGGGAGGTCATTTCGAATAATTTTATGCTATTTCTATTTCTTAATTTATGTACTATTAATTGATATATCACTCATTAAAAACTGATCAGTACTTTAGTTTTTATCATTATTTCTATTTATGACAGAACTTTGGGACCGACTACGTAGTTATGGTTCACTATTTTGGCTATAATGGCTAACACATAAGACATAGATATATACTGTGGCGGATTTTTTGTACGATAATTTAAGATAAACATTTCCATCAGACATTATATATGTGTCACTCTAGCGGTTTTGGCAGCGCACACCAGAATAGCTCGTAGATGGTAGATTTTTTCCTGCTTACTTAAAATCAATGGACATTTCACACAATATCTTTATAAATTGTAGCCTAAGTGTTATTCTGATGTGCTATATTACTGTAAAGTTTCATTAAAATCCATTCAGTCGTTTTTACGTGAAAGAGTAACAAACATCCATCCATACTTACAAACTTTCGCGTTTGTTATGATCAACCCCCTAGCTTCAGGGATGGTTTGCCAGTTACGAAGGGAAAACAAATAATTGAATTTGTATTCGCTAATTGCCTCAAAGTCATAAAATCTGATAAAAGCCATGAGGCTGATTACAGATGATTTGATTTTGATAAGCATAGACAAGACTTATTTACGGACATAATCTGTGACATTTGCAATCAGATTTTATTGATTGTAAATTCTTTCGAACGTCAATCATAATTTATACTTATTATAAATATTTTTTAAATAAAACGAGTCGATCTCAAATCTCCAAAGAGATGTCTTTCTAGTATTAATTCTCTCGCTTCTCTCTTACCAAATACAATTTAAATCATAAAACACAAATATACGTAGTCGGTCCCAAAGTTCTGTCATAAATGGAAATAATGATAAAAACAAAAGTACTGATCAGTTTGTAATGAGTGATATATCAATTCTTAGTACATTAATTAAGGAATAAAAAAAGCATAAAAATATTCGAAATAACCTCCCTCATTTTTAATACAGGCCCTTAAGCGTCGCGGCCAGTCGTCTATCGCAGCACGCACCATATTCGTGTCGATTTCAGTCACTGGTTTTTTTAAAGATGACTTCAGATTCTCCAAATTTTCATGAGGTTTATCACAGACCTTCCTCTCTAAGCCCTGTCATAATTTTCGGGTCCAAAGGATTAAGGTCCGGACTGGAGGAAGGCCAATCCTCATGTCTAATTAAGACGATGTTTTGACGCTCAAACCAGGCTTTAGTGGTCTTGGCTTTGTATGCAGACGCAGAGTCCTGCTGGAACACGAAGTGATGTCCCGCAAATAGGGTGCTGGACATGTCTTTGACAAGGCGATACAAAACCGTCTCTTGGTACACTGTAGCACTGGTTTTGACCCCCTTTTCGAAAAAATTAACCTCAGTTAGCCCGTAATAGGACACTCCCAACCAAACCATTACTGATGATGGATGATGTCCATGTTGCACCCTTGGAACTTTATTTTCAGCTTCTTCAGAACTCCTAGCGTACACTGTATAATTCTGTTTATTGTACTTCTCTTCAATATCGAAAAATTTTTCGTCCGTAAAGAGGATATCACGGTGTCGGTTTTTCGCGTACCGCTTAAACAACACCCGCGATCTCTTAAGCCTTATTGCTTTTAGACGAGCATTAAGTAAGTGCCCACTCTTTTTTTGTATGCTCGTAGACCAAGATCTTCATTTAAAACCTTTTTTACTGTTTTCCTACTGACACCCATCTGCAAATCCATCAACTTCTGTTTTCGGACAGGATTTCTTACTATCCGCGCCTTGATAGCTTTGATTACTGCTGGTGTTCTTGCGGAGCGTGGCCAGCCAGTTCTTTTGTTGTCCTCAACACTGGAGACTTCAAGGTACCTATCAATAGTACCGTACACAAACCTAAGCGTTATATTCAAATTTTTGAGCAACTTGAAAATGGTACTCGGCGAGTGTCCACAGCGGTGCAACGCAATAACAACTATTCGGTTTACTTTCAATGTCCACTCCATCGTGAAAAATTACGGAAAGTTATTGTTTTTTGTTTTAAAACAATAATCAAACATTCCAAAATAGAATGCAATAATTTTTTTATAAAATCCTGCCCGAAATGTAGAAATAATTTGCTAGTGACAGAACTTTGGGACCAACTACGTAGTTGCCTTATTATACGAATACTTCAAATCAAAATAAATAAAAAACGCGTTAGAAGTTATACTTCTTTGGCGTAATAATTTTCTACGAGCAATTTAGAGGAACGATTCCCTCTTCGAATTGCATTTTTCTTGTTCATTTTAATGGTCACTTCCAATCGAAACGATATAATATGTGCTAATCATGATATTTTACAATAAACACTATGTTTTTTATCACATTGGAACGGGTTTTCTCGTATAGAAATCATTATTTTGGTTTAAATAGACACGACTCTGAAAAACACTACGCCATGACGGACAATGCAACTTGTCGATAAAACAGAGCAAGCGCCAACTAGCGGCCCAGACTGTTTTACCGACGTTTGAACAGATATTCAGGGTGTCGGTTTTTTGTGACGCTGTGCATCATAAAAATTTACTCTCATCATTTTCCTTAACGCGCCAAAAGAAGTACATATAACTTCAATTACTTAATACGTATCATGGCATGACTCTGAGGTGCCAAAAACTAACACAGACAGCGCACACTTATACAACTCTCAGCTTTACTCTCAAATACAATACACATCCGTTCACACACTCACACGTTCACACACACTTAATGTCTTATAAGACTTGTGTTTGATTAGTGTAACTGTTTTAAACATGTGCCACGGAATAATTGTCATCTAATTACTCACAACACAGGGACTCCCTGTGGGGACTAGCGATACGTGAATTTTATCACAACCTATTTGTCATGAATAAAGTTTTTATTATTATTATTAGATATAAGATGATTCTTGCCACTCTAGATAGATCTAGTATAGGAGGAAGGAAGAGAGGGTCGTAGTAGAAAGTGACTTGAGGGTGAAAGACAGGAACGAGTTTAAGCGGTAAGGGAGCGTTCAACGTTACGGCGCGTTACATACAAGAAGGGGAGGGGTGAGGGGTAAAGTAAAAAATCTTTAGAGTCACTATTCTATCTTAAATTGATGGTTTATCCTTCGTGGTATTTATTTTACTATAATTGCTTGTCACATATCTAAGTCACCAATGTAACCGTGTGCTGTGGGATGGCAGGCTTTTGTAAAAAAAGTACCATATTAAAATATTATACATATATACATTTTAGTACAGGCAGTTTGTCAGGAACTTGTTTTAAAAAGGCTAGCAACGCACTTGCAAGACTCCACGGGCTTCAGTGCCCAAATTGCCCCGTTTTATGAAAAAACTCAAGAAAACATTTTGTTTCTTTATTCTGAATTATTAATCTGTATTAATCTGACATTTTTTAAATAGTTCTTTTAAATCTCTTAAGAGTTATACAAACAGGAAATGGAGTTTGAACGATAACGCTTTATTGAGACATTTGATTGCAATTAATCTTCGAGCAAAGTTCAAAAGCGTGGTTCAAAGAACTGAGATACCGTTTGGCGTGTTTTATCATATTACTATGAAAGATATAAAACTTGGTGCAAATATTCTGGTTTCCGATTTTTTAATACAGTAACAATGCAATACATTCTTCTTGAAAGAAAAATAAATACTGGCAGGCATAGCCCCGAACAAAGATAAAAAATTAAAAAATATCTTGTTTTTAAAAATAGAAGGCAATGCTTTTCATAATATGTGTTCTACAAAATTTATAAAATTGGTCAGAGGGTTGTTCAATAAATAGTAATAATGCAATAGAATACTGAATAACGCAGACAATAGATATTAATTGTAGTCTTTAAAAATAGAAGTAATTGGTTTACGTCGTGTGTTCTTTAAAATGTAGTTGGCGCGGTTACAAAATAACTCCGTATTTATTAAAATTCGTTTACAAAAAAACATCTATTTCTTCGACAATTTAAATTCTTAACTAAAATAATATTCACACATAAAATCCTTAATTCCCCAGCAATATTTGCACTAAATCGATTTTTAGTAACAATAAACCAACTTGCTTATAAAAAAAAACAGGTACAGCAAGCCCAGACTAAGGTTTCAATCTCAGGAACTACTTCACCGATTTTGAAATTTATATCTTTAGAAAGCCAGGTTATTCTTGAGTTTCATTTATTTCAAGGGTGCGTTGGCTTTTTCGAATCGGTAAGCTCTTTTCTTGAAGGACCGTAAGTTAACAAATCTACTTACCGTCACAGCCTGCGCAGTAGCACCACCACCAACGTCAAGGAAGTTGGCTGGATCACCTCCGTACAGTTTGATGATGTCCATCGTGGCCATCGCGAGACCGGCACCGTTCACCATACAACCAATGTTACCTGTATGAATAATAATTGCAGACCATAATTGTATGATAAAAACTATATTAGTATTGGCTAAGAAACAAAGTAGCTATGGGAGCGTTCAAGTATTACGTTACGAATTTTGGGGGTGGGTCTTGAAAAATAATAGTAATTCTTTATAATCTCCCATATAACATTTGAAACAAACAGTATGATTACAATTAAGAAGGTAACCTAAAAAGACTTCCATTCCACAGCGAAGTTATACTGAATCATAACAAAAAAAAATACATATATGAGTAGGCAACAAAATTTAAAGTTTCTAAAAAAATTAAAAAAAAAAAAACTAATCAAAACAGTGAACTAGATTCCTACAGAAATAGAGTTGTATGGGCGTATGTGTGTGTCTGTGTGAGTGAGTGTGTGTACCATGATATGTGCAAATTATTTTAATTCATCTAGCAGATTTTCAGTTTGGTTATAGATTTATAGACCATTTGCTTTTTTTCAAATTTTTTTAAGAGGTTTAAAAGGTAACTACGCATTCCGTAGCGACTTTCTGGTACTTAACGCCACATATTTAAGACTTTTAGGTAAAAATATCAATTGGTGGTCACGTAGCGTCCGTAATCCCGGATTACAGAAAAACGTTACGGCGCGTTGCAAATATACAAATTGTTTTTAAATCAGTTCAGCCATAAATTTTTGAACTGGAGCAAATCAAACCCAAGGATTAGGATCATTTAAATAATCGTCAAATTTATAAAAAGCTTTATTGATTAATTTACGAGAGTTTTGACTTTATTCAGTGATAATTCTTCTTGGTAGTTTGTTGTAAAAGTACTGACATATATGGTTATTTAACTCACCATCAAGGGCAATGTAGTTCAAATCGAATTTGGCGGCTTCGATCTCCTTGGCATCCTCTTGCGTGGTGTCCCTCAATTTAAACAAATCCTTTTGTCTGAACTCAGCGTTGTCGTCGAACCGGAATTTGGCATCCAAGCAAAAGACTAAAAATATTTATTTAAAAAATAATAGTTTAAAAAAACTAAAAAACACGCTTTTAAAGCACATCACAACAAAAAATACTGGTATTATTGTGAAAAAAGCGTGGGGCGCTCTGTGCCATATTTTTCGTCTTTAGAGCAACCCACGCTTTTTCACAATAATACCAGTATTTTTTGTTCATTACCATTTTCAGCCTAAATTAGGAATTATTTTTCACTTTTTAGTTTGATGTGCTTTAAAAGCGTGTTTTTAATTTTTTTAAACAATTTTTTTTTTTATTTTTTTTTTTTTTTTTTTTTCGGATTATTGCATTGTCATCGATCTTTGACAGGTGCGCAAAATCTGTCCGTTAAAAGTGGGTCAAAATCGAGTCCGAAGGAGTCGGTTACATACATACATACAGGTGAAGCTAATATAAAGCGTGTAAAAAAGTGCGTGCGTACAAAATACAAATGTCAGAAGTGAAACTTCTTTGTAAATTAATTATTACTAAGGTAAAAGCCCCAAAAGATGATCATATACCAGTATATGATCACTCCATGTATTTGTATATCTAAATTCACACTGTTTACACACTGTATATGTACTAATGATAAGATAAATATATAAAAAATCTGCGTTTACTGCACAAGACGTTATGCGACAGAATTTCCATCTAAAGTTCTAATATGTAGCCCTAATATTACAAATTTTTGACGGTAATTGATTAAACAATTGCACACCCTCATACTCAATAGACACCTTCAAATAATTTGTACGCCGCTTCGGCAAGATAAGCAAACTCGCTCGACGAGTATTCCGTGTAGTTTTTTTTTTTATTAAGATACAGGTGCTATAAATATATAGTTGTTTAATCGTCACAATTTTAGTTTCTTGGTATTATTAGTCTGTATTAAAAAAAATATCAATCAAAGTAATGCTTACATTTTCCTGAAATAGCGTCCTCCGCATAGGGATTGACCTCAATGAGAAGGGCGTCTTTCTTCAGAAACAGTTCGTATAGTTTCTTAATCATATCTGCAGCCTCGGCAGAGTGTTCTTGTAGACCAATCTAAAAAAGGTGTCATTTCATTGATTTGGACTGAACTTATAATATAAGTAATACAATATGTTAAGTACATTTTAATGGATATTATTTTTTTTATTAATTCGGTGTTCAGAACAGATGAAAGTGTATTTATACCTATGAAAATAGTACAAAATCCATTGGGGCACTAGTTTTCAGTCCCAGCATATGTTTACCACAAATTATAAAACTGTATAATAAATATAGCACTTACCTTTTCAATAACACGGCAAACTTGGTCATCAGTTATGCCTTTTACAATATCTATGGGCTCATATGTGATAGCCTCGGGATTTTCCGCAGCTACATCTTCAATGTTAACACCACCTTGTGAGGAAGCAATAATCACTGGACCCTGTTAATGGTTATTATTATATGAATACATACGTCTCTTACATCTATGATTCCTCTAAATATTTCCTTCCTCTTTGAGACTATGAATAATATAAAAAACACACATATGACATGGAAATCATTTTACTGCTTACTTTTGCTTTGCTTTTGTATATAAAAATCTTTTAAGTCCTGTGAACCTTCTCAATCATAGTCATTGAATAAAAAATGTTCATTATTGATGATATATTTTTTCTGATAATACTATGATCATATTAAATCAAACTTACGTTAAAACTTCGTTCCATCATTACAGCAACATAATACTCTCTGCGGGGAAACTTTCTCTCTGTAACCATCACCATGTTGCAAATACGTCCTGCAGCTCCAGTTTGCTTTGTGACCAAGTATTGTTTTAACATTTTGCCTACTATATCTCCAGCCTTTTCAGGTCTAAAATGTTAAAAAAATATAGGATATTTCTACAAATAATTGTTAATTGAATAACTATTTGCACTTACGTATCCACCATTCTGACACCGCCTTTAAGGCCATTTTTAAATGAACCCCTACCTCTGCCACCAGCAAGAACCTAAAAACTTTTTGAATTGAGTATTCATCATTCAACACAAATAAACTGTGGAAGTTGTTTAATTGTTACCTGAGCTTTTAAAACAATATCTTTGGTATTAAGTTCAGTGGCAAACTTGACTGCCTCGTCCTTTGTCTTAGCAATATTGAACTTGGGAACTGGGATACCATTATCGCGGAGTAATGTATAGCTGACATATTCATGAACATTTAAGTTACGAACTTGTTGTTTGTTTGGAACTTTATTTGAAGATGCTGCCAATAACTAAAAAAGTAAATAGATAATCATTAAATTTGTATATGGGCGTTATGAGAATTTTTTAAGTATGAAAGAACGCACGCATGATTTTTTAAATATATTTTGTATAACAGTCTAATAGACTATATAAACATAAATGTATAAGATGACGTAAGGACTACAAGGTATAATTCTGACAAGGTCGAGTATATAAATATTACATAAACTGCATATCATTTTATTTACACAAAGAGAAGTTACTTTAGTAAGAGTACTCTGAAAATGTTATTGGTTCATTTAATTTAGTAAATCATTAAGAGATAGGGTATAAAATTAATGGTCAATAAAAAATCCAGTAGTAAATTGGGATTTAGGATATTTAAATTTGGTATAGAAGGGTATATCAAAATTTATAGAAAAACTTCGTACCTTGGTTCCATTTTTGAGCAAAACAGTTTCAGCAAAATTTAAAGAACGAGGAAGTAAAGTCGCCATTTTCCCGTGCTAAAACTCTAAAATCTGAAAAGTTGTGGCAGCGAACTGACAGAACATGGCAGATTATTTGACAATGCACATTTCTGTTTTTTTTTCTAAATAATTTATTATAAGGTGCGTTTTCCAATTACAGAGAAAATTAGAAGCATGAATATTTATTTCTTTAATGACGAATCACAAGTGTACATTGTGTTACCTACGTGAATAAATGATTTTTTGAATTTTTGAATTTGAATTAGAGCATTTTGAGACTCAGTGCCGCACAATGCCGTATAATGCTGAAGCTTAATTGGAACGTGAATTAGTTTTCAAATGCATCAGCAGAGTGCGCTAAGTCAGTGTTGTAAAAAAATTGTTGAATTTGTATGAATTGAGTTAGCAACCTCATTAATGTATAAATAATGTGGTAAACAATAATAATTGGTTGAAAACTTTTTACGCTTATTTTAATCATCAAATTATTTCATTAACATTTTTTTTATTGAAATAATAGAAAACCTTTAAGGTCCGATTCGACCAAACAAGAGTAAATCTTAATCTTAGAATAAATCGTCAGTTAATCGAGAGTAAATCAATTTAACGTTTTACCAACTACAAATTCTAAGAATAGTGGGCTTATTCGGGAATAGCTACTATACCGCCGTTTCGCACGGAATAACAGCTATTCCTAGAATAATTTAATGGCGTCAGTCAGTTCAATCAGCTGATTTCTGTCATTTCACAAATATGTATTCTGTGTTTTAATTTCAAGTCAACGCAACGCACTAAATTAATAGTCTGGCATTGTATAATGAAACGTTTAAACAATTTATTATTTATTTTTAGATTTTTTATTGTCTATAATATTAGAATGAAATTCAACTAGGCTCAACAGAAGTTCCTTTTTAGACGAAAGCCTCAAACAAACAAGAAATAAAAACTTTTTGTTGTCGTTTGACACCTGTTAAAAGCTACTTTTTCACTCTATAATGCGGCAAAATCGAGTTGACATGATGTATGCTCTTACACTGTCCCGTTGTAGAACAACATTTATTTGCCGAGTTTTATTTTCGTTCACCATTCTCTTGCTATTCGCGTATTGTTATTCCTAGCGCAATTATACTATCGATTACATGGACAAACGACTATGGATTTACTCGAGATTAAAATCATGGAATAGATTATTCTTGGTATAGTTACTCGTGTATAAATTGAAGTTTGGTCGAATCGACCCTAAAGAATATAAGGTTTTAACAAGCTAAATTAACAGTAAAATATTTATTTTCATGTAAGAAGTTTACATCATTTACGTTTTGAGTAATATTTTTTAATGATTTCTAAAAAAATTATATACTTTTTCAAAACCATTGCAATTTTTTCTAAAGTATAATCCTGTAAAATAAATTTGTTTACAGATCCGAATTTTAAAATAAAATTGTATTCATATTTTAAATGTGGAATATAAAAAAAGTAACTATTTATCATCCATACTAATATTGTTTTTTTTAGCAGTTTGAAATAACTTTAATTATTTTCAAAATCTACGACGAAACGAAAGCCTTACAAATTTTTCAACAATAAATAATATTTACTAACGAAAATTTCGATAAATGCCAACTTAAAGAAAAATACTGGTCAATTTTCTGTCACTGTGTTGGTATTGTTTGCGAGAAGCTCGCGAGAGCATTCGTTTTGAGAGTGCTCAATTGTGCGAAGCGTTGCTGTAGTTGGAACACTCGACGTTGAGCATTATGCCGCAAAATGCGCTCTAGTGCTGTAATTGGAAAACGCACAAGATGATCTTTCATTCCATCGGGTTGGGTGCGATAACGATGCACCCGAATCTGATGATATTGATTATGCAGGAGTCTTGGGGGACCTTCATTGGAACACCTCCAAGTGATTTTAGCTGCCGGAAATGCGTCAAAGTATTTTAATTTTTTTTTTAAAGTTTTGTGAAATGTATTGAAATTTGTAAACAATCCACCATTATCTACTTTTCTATTGGTTATAAGTGATGTGACATTTTCGGTAAATTAATCGGATCGATTATTTTCTCATTTGTTATTTTTAAAGTTGAACCTAATCGAATCTATTCACCCAGTGTATCATAATGAGAGCAAGAGAGACGGAGAACGAGATGCTATCGCTGCCAACTACGAACTAAACTGGGGGGAGAGTGGAGACCCCACTTGGAATCGGCACACGAAATCCATATCCTACGTCTGAATTCGTTGTCGCGGGTCATCAACGCTGATAAATGATAATCTAATAACACTAGCAGGAAAAAGTTGTTAACATTAAGAATGTACACACACATTATACACGATCTGCTGACTGTTTGATCTACTTTTCATAGGACAAAAATAAACAACACTTTTTAATTAAAAAAAATAACATCTCTTTTAACATAGAAATTATTTCTTAGATGGGATTGACTTTGTTTTGTAGGAAAATTTCCATGAATAGATGGTTATGGTTTGTGGACTCAGTTTAAGCACTTAGACTCTCAGAACGGACCTACCGTTGTGCGTTAAGTCCTGGCTAACTAAGCCAGCCTAACTCCTTCCAGAAGCACAGAATTCTCCTGGGCACTTCGCAGGCTTCACGGCGCGACCTCACTGTTCCGAGGATTTCTGCATGTTGTTTAGCCACAGCCTCGCATTCCAGGACTACGTGGGTGACAGACAGTGTGACCGTTTTTAGTATATTCAGTACCAAATTGGTATAATTTGGGCTCCGTGTAACTAATTTAGTATTTTTTTGGTATCCTTTTATATTCTGGTATTTTTTGGTACATTTAAACTTTCAACTTTTTAAAACACATTTTGATATATTTTTGGGCTGGGCGGGAAACACTCACTTTCATTCGTTCGTATTTCGTTCACATGTTTTTGTCTTTGTCTGATGTTTACCGCAAATGTATCATTTTGTCTCTTTCGAACGGTTAATGCTAACAAATTCGCGAATCGTGCTTTGGCTACGTATTACTATCTACGTTACATGCTGTATTTTTTATACATGGATGTTATACGGATGTTTTAGTTCTTTATTTATTTCTCTCTGTGTGCATGTGTAGTGAAGATAATGAAGCGCAAATGCGATCAGAAATATAGATCTGAGTGGGAACAAAATTCTGAATTTTCGTCATGTTTGACAAAAGATAGAAATCGCCTTGTGTAAAACGTGTGGAGCAACATTTTTAAGCAGAATCGCTACAATTAAAAGTCATGCATATTCTGAAAAACATCGATAGAAACTTATACGTTATAGTGGACAATCCAAGGTAAGAAAGCTAATGCCCCCATTAACATATATATTTATAAGATTATTGTGTCCCTTATTTTTTTATGGCACATGAATTAATTGTCCTACTTCTTCAGGATGTCCGATGAATCTTGGATAGTACATGTACACACATGTATAATTGATTTAAATTCATCAAATTAATCAAATCCTGTTTATTTTCAGAACGATGATAAATTACTTCAAATGAAAGAACCCATATCTGAAAAAGTAAGAAAAGCAGAGCTTATATTTTATGCAGCGTTGGCAGAACATAACATACCATCTCGGGCCATGGCCATGGATCCATGAATCATCTCAGCGATTTATTTAGCAAAATGTTTTATGATTCGGAAATCGCAAAGGGCTTTTCCTGCAAACGCACTAAATCTGCTCAGTTAGCTCAGTGCAGCGAATACTGACTTAGTATTTGTAATAAAACTTATTGTAAATATTTATTATTATTTGAATATGTCTGTACAATGAAGGTGTGTAATTGGTAAAATTAAAAAGTATCTGATAATAAGTGTTTTAATAAAAAAAATCCTCTTTTTCTTTTAGTATATTTTTAGTATAATTCAGCATGTGTTTTGGTATTATTTAGTACTGGCACCTTGTAGTTTTGGTAGATTGGCATTTTTTAAAACGGTCACACTACTGACAGATTCCTCTGCGCTGAAACAACCTCTACACAGGGCGCTGTCTGTCGTGCCTAGGACAAAAAGATGTTTGTTAAGGAGACAATGGCCCGTAATTGTCCCTATCATTGTTTTGAGATTGGTTCTGTTTAAGTTTAGAAGTTGCTTTGTCAGTTGTGGGTTAACTGCTGGCAGAGCCATTTTGGACTGTCTGCATTCCGCACTTCGCAACCATCGTTGATGTTGGAGTTCCTTAGATCTTAGGCGAACCCAGGTTCGCACCTGCGAGAAGGGCAAGGGAAGAAGCGGATAAGGGCCAGCAGGCATCATTTCCGAACCTCTCCTCGGAAGTTCGTCGGCAGCATCATTGCCGATTCAATGAATAGAATCGGAGGCTGTATAAAAATATATATCTTGTATCTTATACAGTAATAGAAAAATTTAAAAATAATTTATACTTGTAAAATATACTTTATTTAAATTTTTTTTAATTTTGTCGTAGGTTTAGATTCTAAATTAACTATATTCTTTTGTTGATCATCTGTCCAAACACCGTTTCCCGAAAAGTAATGTTCTTTTTCAATCATATAAACAACCAAACTTAACTGTTGAGTTTTATTTAGTTTATTTATATCTACATGGCCATTTAAAGCTTCTACTTTATGAATATCCTCAATAGTTTTTCTTATTTTATTCCAAGGATATAAAAGAACAGCAACATTATCATATATATCTTGAGGTGAAAAGTCTTTGGTTAACTTATCACAAACATATCTAACTTCAACTAATGGTATATTAATCCAAAATGGGTGTTTTCTAAGTGTGTTGCGAATATTTTTAGTAGGAAAACCACTGCCCAAAACTTGGCTTATAGCAAATACTAAATCCTTTCCTTTTCCAAGCCTGTCTCCAGGTGCTTTTTCAAATGATTCATATCGTACAGAACTTCCAGAGAGTACATTAAGGCTTAAGCACTTTTTGTTCTGATTTTTTAAATTTATTATTCTTTTCAATACTGTCTTGTTGTAGAGAATGATTTTTAAGAATCTTGGATGATTGATATAAAGGCTGAACTCAGGTGTTGTTTTTGCATGTGTTAATCGTTCTTCAACAGTTCTTGGGCTTAGAGTGAATACTTGAAAACATCTTGATTGTGCTTCTGAACCTATTCCATGTTTTTCAAGTATGTCTTTTATCTCTTGTAATGTAGAGTAGTTTTTAGTGGCCAACTTTGGATACATCCTTATAACATCCTTTACATCTATTCCTCCCAATTCTCTCAGCTTAAACAAAATTTGCGTAAGATTGTCTGGATCAGCATGAATGAGATATAAATTAGATTTTATTTTGTATTTTGGCATTGCAACTTGGGATTGTAAAATGACTAATGTTTCATTAATAGCTTTCAAAGGTCGATGCTGTAACGTTGGATATGTTTTTAGCCCTCTTAAAAATTCATCTTCAGTAAGATCAATCACAAGTTCCAGGTATCTTTGAATAATTTTCAACCTTAAACTATGCAATGTTAATGAGTTTACGTCACCATATATTAAAGTGGTAAGTGAGGTAGGCCACTGTGTCATGCAACTCGCTAGTCTATTTTCCATATTAAAAAACTGAGGTATCAGCCCTCCACTTCTTAATTCACCAACAGTTTTCTGTTTCATGATATTGAGATATGAAAGTAATAGTTGAGGAGTTATTTCTTTGAATCCACATTCTTCTAATATTTTGTACCTGTTTTTTAAAGTAACTGGTAACATATAAAATAAATTTGGGTAATCTATCAAAATATCTTTAGGATACCCTAAATCATACACAGTTTTTACCATACTTTGTATATCTTCTTCACAAAATTTGGTAATATATGGCTGTTTAAGCATAATAAAATGAGCTTTATCCTTACTTATTCCTAAATGCCTACATAGTGTATACAAATTCTCATGATTTATGGAGATCATTCTCATAAACTTTTGGAGGCGGCAGCATAGTTTAAGTCTTCCAAGTAACATATCACATTGGACAATAAAATATCTATTTTTTCCTAAACATTAACCTAAGAACTAGGCAGGTGATAAATCTAAAAGAAATAAACTGAGTGGGATAAGTATAAATATCTTCGAATAGGTTTTGTTAGTATATACACTTGTTAAATATTTAATATAGGTACCACATCATGTTGATAAAATTAAATTAAAAATGATGAAGTCAGAAGTATGAACAACCGCAAAAATAAATTATAAAACATTTTTTAATATAGATTATAGCTATCCAGTATCTACTACTCAATTACATAAACATAACATAGACAAGAAGTATAAGATAAAAAATATAGCATAGGCTCAAGAATAAGAAATATATAAATAAAATTTTAGCCTGTACTCTAAACTATAGTTTTTACTAGTCTGTGACTCCGTGTTATAATTATAACAGACAACAGTTTACAAAAAAACTGTATATTTGTATAACTTTAGGTGGGCTTGGGCGGGGCTTGATCGTTGTTACTTGTTCATTGACGACACAAGCATTTAATTGTTTTTAATGCATTCATATTGTACATTAACAAAATTTATTTAAAAGAAATGGTATCCAAATCGAAGACCGGGCTATTTGCTCTAGGGTTTTTTACTTTAGCATCCTTATTTATAATTATTTCTTTTGTTAGTCCATACTGGCTTGTTACTGATGGAAAACTAAAAAATCCGAAATTCAAAAGAATTGGTATGACTTAAAGGTAAATTTCTTACGCTTTTAAACTAAATACTCATTAATGTGATAATCATTGTATTACAGGTCTGTGGGAAATTTGTTTTAATGGTTTTGAAGAGGTTCATCACTGGTATGATACAGTATTTAAAGATTGCTGGTGGATATTTGAAGAAGAATACTATATTATACACGATATTCTTCTGCCTGGATTTTTTATTGCTACTCAATTATTTTTTACAATTACTCTATGCTGCATTATAACATCTTTTTTCCTGCTCTATATTTACCTGAGAAAAGAAGAGGATGATGATAACTATGTAACTTTACTTATAATATTTGGGACAACTCTTGTTACTGGTGGTAAGTTACTTTAATTTCTTATTATTACATGACAAATATTCATTTAATCCGGATATTTATTGAATTTAACATTGTCTTTTCTACACACCAAATCCATTTATCAAAAGTATTTTATGTGAAACAACTTAAAACTCAGGATATTTAGGAAAAATAAAGTACACTAACCCCCTCACTAGGATTTCCTGTATCGTGGGCAGCCCGTCTCTTCCTTTTGACTTGTTTACTTTACTCGACAATATATTACTTGTTAGTCTGAAAAGTGTGAGTTAGTTGGCTTGTGAGCTAAGTTATGGTGTATATTTATTGTGTTTCAGGTTTCTCAGGATTAATATCAGTTATTACATTTGGAGCAAGAGGAGATGGAAGGGATTGGATGCCTAATTGGGAGCACAATGACCTTGGATGGGCATTTGCACTGGGTGTTGTAGGAGTGGTACTTCTCTTTCCTGCTGGAATACTGTTTCTAGTAGAAGCAAGAGTCAGGAAATACAAACGGTTACATGAAATGCAAAGTAGGGAGCCATCATCATATACAATGCATGAGCGAAAAGTGGCCTTTCCTGGTCATACTGATATTTAGAAGTAAATATTGCATTAACTTTTATTCCGTCCAGCTGTATGACTTACAAATTAAGAATCTCTTTAAATGTTTTAAGTATCAAATATGTTTTGACATATTTATTAATTAGTATTATTTTTAAGCCTTAGATTAATTGTTTTACAAATTTTTAAAAATTTACAAATAAAGATAAAAGTGAGATATAATATGTTTATTAATCTTACATATGAAATGTTTTGAAAACCCATAATTCTTATATCTAAATGCTAATTAAAAGGAAACTTAGCAGGCACAGTTGTTTTACATAATAAAGATGCTTCTGCACACTTAAAACCTATAGACACACATGTTTCTTCTGGTTTGTCATTTAGCATTCCAAAAATAAAACCACTAGCAAAGCAGTCACCTGCCCCAGAAACATTCTCAATTGTCTTTAGGCCTTGAGTTGTATAAAACTTTAAATTTACCTCTTCTGAAAGAGAATCCTTATATTTTACTACCATTACACCTTTAGCTCCCATTGTTATTATAAGAATCTTAACATATTTTAATACAACTTTTGATAATCTTATAATATCATGTTCATTACATACAAAATCGTTTTCAATATGTGGATTTAAATAACTTGCAATTTCTTTTAACTCTAAAAGGTTTGGTGTTGCATATGTTACGTTTTGATTATTAAGGAATGGCTTGATTGATTTTCTTCTATCAGTCGGCTCGAAAAAAACTGAAAAAAATTACAATTAATAGATTCATACATCGGTAAATATATTTTGCCTTGTGAGAAATGGGACATCATAATCTACTATAATTATATGAAACTAAACCCAAACTGAAAATAATTCCTTAGCATTGTCCTATAGTTTATACTATATAAGCTTTAGTAACTTTAAATTGTTGTGGTATGCCTCAACTTCCATAAATAATGCAAATATAAGGTTTTATAACTCTTTAACATAAACTAAAGTTAGCAGTTAACTCTGCTAAGATTATAATATTTATTCAGTTCTATTGTTTCATATTAAGGTTGATATAAATATTATATTTAATCTAGGTTTCATAAATTATTTCTTTGATATTATGTAATATGTAGTAAACTTGTTACATGTTTAAATTTTAAAAAAAGAAAAAATTGGAGGGCTATCTATATTCTATATACAATTTTTTTTTATTTCTTTTGGCAAGATTTATATTTCACCACAGACGTATGTATAGACAAAGATACTGAGGTCTAAAGAGACTCCATGAATCGTCTGTGTATTTTACTCATTTTTTACAGTTATGTCAATTGTCATTTTCATATTCTGTTTCTCCTTTCAAATTGTCCTTTAGTCTATGCTTTGTGTTTGTTGTTACTTGTGTAACGCGTTGACTCCACCCAAGTTCTAAAGCAAGTTATAACGTTTATTTAAAGCGTTTTTTTTTACAAATAAGAGGTATGTCTGAATGAAGTTACTATACGTGGTAACTTTACACACTAACATAATAATTTAGTTAAGTCTAATGTTGGCTAACATACTTTATAACTTATTACTTAATTCAGGATTTCCATTACTAACTTCACTGATTAATAAAGAAGTATCAATTTCGAAGGTCTTAAGTTTTCAAACTGTTGATAAAACAGTACTTTTATAAGAAGTTCTATACTTTTTATAATTTTTCGAATTTAATAGTTTTATTGAGTCGATGTTACTTATAAACCTGTATCAATATTATTAGTATAATTATCTTTTCCAATACCAAAAATGTTTTGTATGAGCAAAACAATATTAAGGACATAAACCTACCAATATATTATATAAACAGTGATTCTTAAGGTTTTATTATTAATCAGTCTAGTAAAAGAAGTGAATACAAATGTCTATGAATTTGCTATTACAGTCACAAAATAAAATTCTATTCTAATGTTATAATATCTAATAAGATTTTGAGTGTGCAAAAAGTATTCAATAAGTGACACCGTCTCTTTTCAAATAGCTTAGCTATATCATACACAGATTTCATAGTAGTGATGACCATCTCATCTCTGGTTTTAATTTAATTTGTGTTTAGTTAAAAATGCAATAATTTTAATTGTATTTTCAATATAATAATATACAGCCAAAACAACATACAGATTATATTGACCAAAATAAATGGTCTTGGCTGAATTCTATTGTATTAGGTATATACAACAATCTCATCGGCTGTTACAACTATCAGGTTTTACAACCAAATATGAGTAGTCACTTTGATGTCGTTATAACAGATTTTGACTGTAGTTCTAAATTTGTGTGATCTGTGTGTGTCTGTTGCTTAACAAGGACAGTACATATACTTTTATGTATATTAAACACAATTTCATAAAAAATTAGTTAAAAATAAATTATTAAGTTATTATTATTTTAGTTATGTTTTAATTTGAGTATATATAAAATAGATGTTTATGTTTGAATTTTGTAACAAGACTAACTGGGGCAATTACATTTGGATTATAATAATAATTAAATTCACAAGTTCCGGCATAGTCACACATTTCATTATAGTTTTCTAAACTATAACTTTTTGGAATACTTATTTAACATTACTAATAACTGTTGACTTATTTGACATATAGCATTGCTTAAATAAAATTGAATAAGAAATTGGGCTGTAGCCTAAATGAGTTTATCAAGAGTTGTAAGATAGTTACAAAACTGAATATAAATGTGTGTGTAATTAAATGTAAAAAAAATTAAATAATAAACGCGTGCATACAAAGTACACATGTCAGAAGTGAAACTTCTTTGGCAAAATAATTTTTAAGTCTTGTTCATATTTATACAAATCTAAAACTTTAGATTTCCAAGACTTAGTGGGAGGGAAAAAGGAAGATACTTGTATGTTACGAATTTAATGTATTTAACTGTCATTAAAATATTAAATGTCGAAAATTAATACAAATTATAAATTTAAATTTATTTCTTCGAAAATAAAAACATGTGGCATTTTAATTTACAATAAGTCATTTGAGATTTCAATAAATTATTTTGCATAAAATATAAAATACTAATATTTCATAAATTCTCTTTACGAAATTTAAATTTTACAAAAGGATTTCTATAAGGTAATTCGCCCTTCTCACTCTCTCTCAATCGGTCTCTCCCTTTTCTTCGACATAAACGCTGCACATCTTCGTGACGGTAATATTATTATTATTGCGTTTCATTCGTAAAAAAATTACCCTCATGCGCCTAAAGAAGTTTCACTTCAAAAATTGTAAAATTCAGTTAATTTGACCCTGAACGCCGACATTCCCACAGTGACTAACGCGTGTGAACTTTTCATTATTGTTTTACACCAAGTATAGCCAAAAGAACCCATTATTTAGCAAGTTACGAAACATTTGTTTCTATCATATGCAACCTTGTTTTCGAATGACTCCGTTCTTTAATGCTCTTTGTAATTGATACTATGACAAGGTTGGCTAATTACGTACTCTTAAGAGCTTTTAGAACTTAAGGTCTAGTTTACTATTCGTAATTTATTCTTGTTATGTATTAATTGCGTATTCGTGGTGTAAAACTTCTGTTACATCTATTCAAGAAGTAATTTGAATTTGGAATGCCCATATTGTTAGTAATGTTTTAATCAGAGAGATCTTTTACGAACATGGCTGGCTGTCAAAAATTAAAACGCGCGGACCTAACAAAAAAAGTAAAAAAAGTGCGAAAAGTGCATTCAAAAGTTGCTCCCTAGGCTGTTGAAAACAGAAATCATTGTATGTAATCTTTAATTATCTTTTTAAAAATTTTGAGTGGATACCCAAAATATTTTGGTTTAGAGTTTATAGGCCCATCGAGCTAGTACTAAGTCCCAACAAAAATCTGAAACACAATCGTGAGCCTTCTCTCATTGTGATTAACCAAACGCGGTAAAATTATGACGCCAGCCTCCCCGTCTAAGTTTAGCGTTAAATATTCTCTGTTTTTTAATATTTTTATTTATTTACATGTTCTGGATACAAGTCCATTGGCGACTCTCATCTTATATTTTATTCACCGATAATTTGAATTTAGAAGTTGTGTATTTAAATTGTTAATTTTTCTTTTTAATATTGTCTATATTTTTTACAGATGAAGCAACGAAGTTTAGCGGGTAACTGTGGCATTGCAGTGTTTGTCATTGCCCTTGTGACTGTGGCATTGGCATTCGGTACGCCGAATTGGCTAGTCAGCGACTCTAGGATACGAGGTGCTAAAATGGAACGGTAGGTTTTCTTCATATATAGTGTTAAGCAATAGAGTTTGAAAAGTTGTACCTAAAAGCAGGATGTGTACTCAAACTCAAACTAACTTCATTCATATAGGTAACCAAGTACACTTATGAACGTCAAAACAAAAGAGGTTACATTGATTCAAAATTTACATTTAATACCAGCTCGCAAGTCAAGGGCGTAGGGGAGGTGGGGGGAACTGGAGCCTACTAAGGAAAAAGTTAAATAAAAGCCAAATTTATTGATACTTTATTAACTTTTTATTAGAAACTAAATCCTTACTTATTCGACTATCATTTAATCACAGCGTTAACGTAACATAATTTGACATTTTGCCACAAATAAACTTAAAAGAAAAAAACAGGATCGCTCTCATTACCCGACTTTGCGGGCAATGAGAGCCTATAATTTCGCATATGGGTAACGGGAGCTACTTATTTATTAAATCAGCCTCAAAGATTTCTATCTCAGTCTGGATCTCACTTATTCATATAAAATTTAATATAACGTAATCGTGTAACATTTAACTTTAAGGATCTAAGCAAAAAACGCAAATATAATCAACTGGGCTCTCAGAATTGCTTATGTGCCCATTTACCACAACTTCTACAACGGTACCACATCTCATTGTTTTTTCCTATATCACAGCAAATAGCACACAATGTCTCTTCTTCTGAATATTCTGACTCATCGTCGCAAAGATTCTCAACATCTTCGTCTTCAGACGTCTCCGTTTCATCCTCAAAAAGTTTCTTTTTAACTCTTGTTACATTTTCTTTTTTGTTCATTGCCTTCTTTAGTTTTTTTCCCTTTTCTGCTCTACATTTTCTATTTTTGTTGATGGTTTCTCCCTTTCTCTTTGTACTGATTACAGTTTTATTTTTTTTCTCTAAGCGTTTCTTCTCTTTCTCTTCAAATACTGCTTTCATTGGCGTGCTAGACAAAATTACTGAATGTTGTTTTTGTCTAGATGTCTTATTTTTGTTAGTTATGTTAGGTAGTGGTCCAAGATGCTTTCGTAGTGGTGCGTTCTCTTTTTCTTGGCATTTTGATATCTAAAAAATAAAAATAATTTTGATAAGAATGTTGGGGTAATCAGAGCCTAATAAGCTCTAATTACCCGACTACCACCATCTTGAAATTTAATAAAATTAAATACTGCATCTAGCTTGTAACGAAATTATACGTAAAGATACTCAAAATTAATAACATTAATTATAAAATAAAAAAGGTTTGATTGTAACAAACAAATATCTTCATACATACCTGGCAATTTGAAATTTCGTATTTTTTATAAGCGCGGACTACAAAATTGACAAGCGTCCGGGGTCACATCACACGTGGCAGTGGCGAGTCGAGCGGCGCGGGGGGACACAAACGCAGTGTGCCGAAAGGGTCTAAGTGGCAACTGAGTAAATACGAGCTGTAGTTTAGTCTTTAGGCGCACCGCTCCCATTACCCTCTGGCTCCCATTACCCTCGGTTCCCCTATAGCGGGCAAGAAGAAGTAGCAAGAAACTCTCTGCTCTTTCATATCATATCAGTTTCTGCGTACATATATATACCTTCTCCTAACATATATACCTATAATAAGCGTGTGATTCTCACACCTGTCGTAGGTTCGAACCCCGGCTGTGCACCAATACACTGTGCGCATGTAACACTCGCATACCGTGTGAAGAACTGGAATTTCATTAGACCCAAGTCGACGGCGTGTGTCGGGCACAGGAGGCTGTTCACCGTGCCTATTATGATCACGAAATATACAGAAACCTGAGGCCCAGAACAAGGGTTGTTTTCTATTCTTGGTAAAATATCATATTATATGAGATATATGTGAATTCGTAACACAGAAATCGTTTCACGTATCCAAAAACTCAGTTTCTTCACGAAATCTATTTGAACAATGTACAGTCAGAACCGTTTACAACGAAATCGTTTAGAACAACATAGCGGTTATATTGGCCAAAATCAGATATACCGTCTGATTTCTATAGTCTTAGGTTCTTAATAACAACGTCATCGGCTGTTACGACTATCGGATTATACGACAAAATATGAGTAGTCACTTCGATTTCGTTATAACAGATTTTGACAGTATATAAAAAACAAACCAGTGGCGCTACAACCTTTTTAGGTCTGGGCCTCAGATTTCTGTATGTTTCATGATCAGTCAATCTAATAGGCAAGTAGGTGAGTCTCCTGTGCTTGACACACCTTGCCTTTTGTGTCTAAGGCAAACTGGTTTACTCACGATGTTTTCCTTCTGTACAAGCGAATGTGAACACATAGAAAGTCCATTCGTGCAAGTCGGAGATCAAAGTCAAAATTCAAAAATCATTTAATCATATAGGTAACACTGTACACTTATGAACGCCAAAAAAATAAATGTATATGAAATGCTTCTACATTACATTTAGTGCCAGTTCTCAAACCAAGGGCGTAGAGCGGAAGAGAAGAACTTTGTGACACTGGTCTACTTGACATCCAAAAATTGTTCAAATATCTGTCTGTGTTCTCTTGTTTAATGTCCTACACAACCACATCCATACTAATTATGGAAATAGTCGGGTAAAACAAAGCGAGCAAGCTACCTTTCCAAAAATTCGTACAAATTATGGCAAGAGTTTACTGACGTTTGAGGGAGCGCTATTTAAAAGCCTGCGTTGACAAGTGACAACTGACGGCGGCGTCCATGCGACGGGTTGTCTCTCTCCCTACAATATGGCGAGGGGGCCGATCGCTGGCCATGCGTCATACTCGTGAACGGGTGCTACTTTTACGGTTGCAGCTACTTACAAACATTGTGTAAAACAAAAAACATGGCGATTAAAAAGACTGGCTGATAGTTTATTGCCAGTTATTCTCTTCCGTTCTATGGCCTTGATTTGAGAACTGGCAGTAAGTGTCAGAAGCATTTAATATATATTTCTTTTTTGACGTTCATAAGTGTACATAAATGATTTCGAATTTTGACTTTTGAGGTTTTTTTTACAAACTTAAACGCATTTTCGACTTAAACTAAATTTTTACAGCCTTGGTCTTTGGAGTCACTGCTTCAGATCATTACCTGATCCCTTGGACCAATACCAAAGACGATTCTTTGTTGGATGTCGGTGGGTTTACGACCCATTCACAACAGGATACGACAAAATACGCGGCTATTTGCTTCCAGGTAAAGTATTTTACCAGCAATATTTTGTATAGAGAACTGCTAAGGGATCTGGGCCTCGCTCATGCTGGGCTGCGCACCATTAGGCCTGAACATAGACTACGCGAAAGGATACTTCAGCGGCATCTCGTTACTAGCGCGAGTGTTTGTGAATTAAATGTGTTCTTCTAGAAGTTCTTCTCCCAAGTCAGTTTGGAACGTAATTTTTCACTCTCGTTTCAATACATTTTTGACGGAATCATATTTATTGTTATAATTCCTTAAACTGTCAGATGCCATCAAAACAATAGTCTGTGACAAGAATACTAATGTTTCGCTTTTTATTGGTATAAAATAATTAAAGAAATAAAGCAAGAAAAATTAACGATAGTCTTATTAGAAGTATAGTCGTAAAACTTCATCATCAGTGTTGGGGCGTGAGCTTCCATCCCTGAGTTCGTAGGTTCGAGCCTATGGGACCTACTTTTCCGTATGCCCATTTTACTTGTACGTGTAGATCACGAAACATATCTTAGATTAACCCCAAACCATTGGTTTTTCATATCGTAAAATTATTTTTTAAAGTTGAAACGAAGTTTAATGGCATAAAGATCGAGGTTGGATGAGTAATGAGCTGTAATTGAAAGGTCAATAGACAATAAATCCGTCTCAAACGGATGTGTGGCGTTATTGTCCGTTAATTCTCACGCATAGTCTGAACTTATTTCATTGCAAAATGTTATTTAACATCAAACATCAGCTTCCTTTTGATCAACTTCAGCGAACACAATTTACACTTATGAACGTCAAAAAAGAAATATACATTAAATGCTTCTAATTTTACATTTACTGCCAGTTCTCAGATCAAGGGCGTAGAACGTAAGTGAAGAACTGGCAATAAACTGTTCGCCACGCTTTTTAATCGTCAAGTTTTTACTTTTACACAACGTTTGTAAGGAGCTGCAACCATTACACCATGTTCCACATGACATCTTAAGTAATAAATAATAATAAAATAAATTAAAAACAAAGATTTGTCCTCTATCAGCGGGAGGCATGGTGAAATAGGATCACGCCCTTACATTCTCGTGGTTTGTCCAATTTTCAATCTCCAATGTATCCGATCGGCTTGTATCTATCTCTACGCTGAGACATTTAACATGTCTATTTTTTACTTTACTTTTTTACTTTATTGTATAATTTCATAAATGCCGATAATTGCGCGTAGATGATATTTACATTTAATATGAAGTATTAAACAACTATGTATTCAAAAAAATATAATATTTTTAATTATTATTTATAGTCTGTAAGTAATACAAATATAAAAAAATAATAATAAAAAGTTTGTATATTTATTTCCAGGCAGATATACAGAATTCACAATTAAGAAGAAGAATTTAAGAATTTATTTATCTTATTTATCTTATACATACATTGCTTTATGATAAACTTACTTTAACTTAAACTTACTTTAATTAACTTTAACTTAATTTAATTTAATTAATAATAATAATAATAAACTTGCAATAAGCTTAAAGCTATGCGTTATCTACAAAGTGTATCACCTGCCTCGTTGCGTCGAGCCGTATTAAGTCAAAATTTCATCCGCATCACCGCATCGCTGGATCTATTCCCCGGTCCCCTTCACAAGATTTCTTTTGGGAACTAGCGAACTGTGGAATCGAGTCCCGTTGAGGGGACCTTCAATTGTTTAAGAGAGCATACGCCCCTCAAAGGGCGGCAAAAGCATACACCCACTCAAATCAAATTTCATTTATTCAGTTGAATCACATGATCACTTTGAAATGTCAACTTGCCTGTTCGGAATCGCGACCTGCCTTGCGATTCTGTAACTCACTTTTCGAACTCACACAGCGGTTTTCGCATCGGCGGTCGCTCTCAAATCAGTCGTGAAGCAGTCATTTTATGATTTACAGAATCGCAGGGCAGCACACCAGGAGAAAGGCAAGAATCTCGGGCTAGTTTTTTTTACCGTCTTAAGTTATTTACAATGCTAACAGTTACAGTTAAATTAAATAACTGGAGCAAATTATTTTTAATTCCAAGCTTTCTTATCTTCTAGGTTCTATTTGGGCGCCCCGGAGTGCCCTATCATACAAAAATAGCGTTATAACCTAGTAGAGGTCGTGGGATTATTTTCATTTCATAGACAAGTAGATCAATCAGCCTTCTGCCTGACACATGTCGTTTTTTTTAATGTCTTAATCTTGGAATCAGATTTGTATCTGTTTCATAAAAAAAAATTTGAAGTGAAACTTCTTTAGGCGCATGAGGGTAATATTTTTACGGATGAAACTCAAGATGTGCAGCGTTTTTGTCGAAGAAAAGGGAGAGAGCGATTGAGACCGATTGAGAGAGAGTGAGAAAGGGCGAATTTAGCATGAAGCAAATAGCTATGGAGCGAGAGTAGGGAGTAAGCAAGTGAGAAAAATCGAGAGTGAGATAGAGCGACGGTCGCATCGCGCACAGTGCCATGGAGCGAGAGGTGGGAAAGAGCTATAATGTGAAATATTGAGAAAGAGAGTAAGGAAGATCGAGAAAGAATACACGCTATTGGTTGATGTATTCGTTTAGTTTAGTGGTTACATATTAGAACTCTAGATGGAAATTCTGTCGCATAACGTCTTGTGCAGTAAACGCAGATTTTTTATTTATTTATCTTATCATTAGCACGTATACAGTGTGTAAACAGTGTGAATATAGATGTACAAATACATGGAGTGATCATATACTGGTACATGATCATCTATTGGGGCTTTTACCTTAGTAATAATTAATTTACAAAGAAGATTCACTTTGTGTGTGTGCCTTGTACGCAGCCATTTTATATAATATGCGCCGTCGACTTTATGAACTTTCTGACCGAACGAGTTTTAACAATATATTAATTATTTTTTAAATTCTTTTTTTTTCAGCATTTATGATAGCAACCCAGTTCTTCTTCACCATATGCCTCATTGGTGTTCTGATATCAATGATATTGGTTTTAATATTCTTCCTCTGCTGCGGACCGGAGCAGGGCCGATATGAATTACTGATCAAGAGTATAGGATGTATTATGTTAACTGCAGGTAATTTTTAATCTAATAGATTTAGAATTTTGAAACCATTTTTACTGTAGACATTTTATAACCAACCAGCGTTTTATTTTTTAACAAAAATCATAGACAAATACAGATTATAAACACTGGCCACAGATAGTATAGGACATGAAATAAAATAAAACTGCCTGTTGCAGCCTTATCGCTACTAAGGGTTCTCTTTCAAAAAAGGGGTAAATAATATTGTGAAATGGAAAAAGTGCGAAACTTAATTTTTAATATAAACATAATTTCGGCCCAAGAGTGTGGAAATAAATTTTCTATAATTTTTTAGGATTAAGTGGATGTATAGCAGTCATTGTTTTCGCCTGTACGGGGAACACTGATGGATGGATGCCGGATCACGCGAATAATTATTTAGGTAAGACATAACAAAAGTTGACATACACAGATAAAATATATATATTTATACATAGATTTCTGTGTGATCAAGTTTCTAATAGGTGTGGTCTGTCAATGGACTTTCTAAGGCATTTAACACTCGCTGGTACAGAAGAAAAACGTTAGGCCCATGTCAGACAGACGCAGAAGGCTGATCACCTACTTGCTTTTAAATACAATGATCACGAAAGATACAGAAATGTGAGGCCCAGACCTTGTTGTAGCGCCATTGATTTTGCCAATTTATAGATTTTATGTTTCCAATAAGGGAGCGTTCAAGTATTACCTAACGCAATTTTTGGAGATTATTGACCCCCCCCCATGTAACTCGCCGTTACGTTTTTAAGTACCCAAGTATAGTAAAACGTTTCGTGACCATCTAGTAACTCGTTAGTTACTATTATGTGGTGTAAGTCGAAAAAAAGTATTAACAATAACGCGTAATTTAATCCCCGCCCCGCATCGTAACGTTTTACAAAAGGATCCCCCCCAACATACCTTACGTAATACTTGAACGCTCCCTAAACTGAATATCTTTTTTTAATTAAAATGTGTATTTCTATAACATATAAGTGACCAACTTCATACTCTTCTATCATTAAAATGTTAAGGTATCCCTGTGTTTATCTATTTAAGATATATAAAATATATATTTTTTTAGGTTGGTCATTCGGTTTGGGAGTAGTAGGAGCTGTTGCATGTTTAATAACAGGTGCATTATTCCTGACGGAGGCAAACATACAGATAAGGAAGAGGAGGAGATTTAAGGAGTCCCAAGCACGATTCGAGTTGGAGGAGGAGTCGAAAGCATAGTGCCTTTATTATGTAAGGAAAATTTAGTGTCTACTAATCCGGCCAATTTTTCTTATAAAAAAACGATCTAAATGTACTGTTTTAACTAAAGTACATCTGTCTCTTTTTATCACAGCGTAAACACAATGTGATAGAAAGGGACGAAAGAGTGCTTTAGTTATTAGAATGCGATTTAGACTTATCTAGTTATTACAAATGAAGTATTTTATAATGACCACCAAAACACTTGATTTTAAATTATTATTCGCCTTCCGCTATCTCCATCAACAAAAATATTTAGCTAACGGCAAATCAATCACTCAGCCCGCCATTTTGCAAACAGGAATACGCGCGAAAATTTAACTTCACATGTCAAATGTTTTAGAACTTGACAGATGACAGCATTGTCTATTATATAATGTTCTGTTTATATTATTATATCATACATAGACATTTATGAGGTAGCTAGTCCCATAGTGCCAGAGTGCGAATCAATATTGTTTAAATAACAAAAGTGTATCATATATTTTATACACTACGTAATATTATATTAATATCCCTGAGTAACATAGACTATATTTATGTAAAAAAAGGGTGCGTGTACTTATGTACGCGCGTAAGAAGTTATACTTCTCTGGCATTATTAAAAATTGTTTTTGATTGCATGCAAATAATTAATTACAATGAAATAATCAAAGACTGGAAAAGGAGTCATTATAGTCAATAAAGTTCAGTTTACATTTGAAAAATTAAATAAATATTTATTATTATTCTCTTACATTAAGTGTAACAAATTCTATTATTATTCGAATGTTGTTTTTAAATTATGTCCCATGCCGTAGCATCTTCCGTGGGCAACTTCATTATGTTAATTTTGTGTCACGATGCGCGTAATATTTCACTCTCATCAATTTTTCATAACGCGCCTAAAGAAGTATAACTTCAAAAATGACGTCCTTTGGAAGCCAGTGCAGGCCTAGCGGCCTATACAATATTTTCTAGTTCATAAGCATACCTTTACTGTACATAAAGTACTGGAAAGTCGAAAATAATATTAACAATAACGCGTAATTCAATCCCCGCCCCGCTCCGTAACGTTTTATAAGAGGACCCCCTCCCCCCCAATATTTGTTTCGTAATACTTGAACAGGAAGTACAGAAATTTGACAATAATATATAATATACTATTGTGATCTATTTAGGCTCCCAAGCATGTTTGCTTTATGTTAGAATCCAAATTTCATCAAAATCGGTCAGTAGTTCATGAGATGGGCAAACAATGTTGAGAGGTATTTGAACTTGTTTAATTTTTTTGGTATAATTTACTAGATGATATTGAAATGATGCACTTAGCTTTGTATCTCAAAATGGCACACCGTTCTTATCAAGTTCATACATTTGTAACTGTTGCATAACTATTTGATTTAATGCATCCTGCTAACAATGAAATACTAAATAAGATATTTTTAATAAATTTAAGTTTATCAGAATTAATTAAAGCACTGAAGTATATTTAAATATAACTCTAAAACTTTAAGTATTTACAGGCATTATGATTTTCTATGAATTTGTGCTCCGTCCATAGAGTAAGTTTTTTTTTGTGTTATATCTGATCTATATTTAATAGTCTCTCATTATAATTTAAATAATAAAAAGTAAACCACCTATTTTAGCTGCAAGCCATTGTTGTAAGTAAATGCTGATATAAATTTACCCCATTGTTATACAAATAAAATTCATTTGTTTAACTCAACATCTTGAGTGTAATCGATGAAAAGTACTTGTATAAACTATGCAATTAGACTGTTTTGGTTTTTATTAATAATGGGGAAAGAATCTTAAATATTCCGTCCAAACTTTAAAATATTTTTTTAGTTTAGTTAATTGTGCCGTCCTCGATTTTGTATACTATAAGTATTTTTAATTATATTAATCTCGATACAATTTGTATATCAAAGTTACTTAATTACTGCCAATTGTATTTAAGAGCAAATTCATTACATAAGCTGTAAGCACTAGGTACTCTGACTTTTAATAGACTGTCCCGATCTCTCTGTGTACATTTTCTATGTAGCTATCAATATCTGAAGCGCTGGTAACTTGGAATCATATGTTAGGGAAACTCAACCATGAAGTCGGGATCAATTGGAGGAAGTAACAGAGTGCTGGTGCAGCTCTTTAAACATTTTCCGTTCCATAATGTACCTAGTTTAGTTAGTTTTTAGATATTGTATGAAATTTTAATAAATTTATACAGTTTGAAACACGCTGTGTTTTATTGTTTTTATGTTATGATTGTAGTTTGTAGTAGCGAGTAGGTCTCGGTCAATCCCATAATATAAAAAACGCTAGTCTATAACCGGCCTGAATTGATTGTATTTGTTGTTGTGCAGTTTTGAAAAAATAATGTTCTTTAAAATTTTGTATTATACCACGTGAAACACAAAATATAATATAAAGCCAGTAGCCGTTAGCTGTATTTTAAAGTAATCTAAATCTTTTCAACGGTCCTAATCTTGGTAACGACTTTGAAATCGGTCGCCCGAATTGGGGAGAGGGGGGAGGAGGGGTGTAGTAATCACCCCCCACCAATTTTGCGCGCCGGAAAGTTTTTTTTTTAACTGGGGAAACCCACTTACGGGCCCCCACGCCTGGGAAAAATATTAAATACTAACCTAACCTAAACGAACAATAATAATAATAGATTTTTTGGACAGCTCCGGCGCGACGGGAAATATAGCCCCTCCACCCTTGCGTACCAAAGCACAGCATATTATTTTATTCTTTGTTAAAGCGGGTGGGGGCTGCTCTTACTCCGCGCCTCCGATTTTTTATATACACTCTAGGGGTAGGGCAGACAAGACCACGTGGATAGTGGGGTGCTCTGATTCGGTTTTGGGTACTTTTTGGATAATTTCAAAATTTTCGGAATCCTACACTAATTGAAACGTGAAGTTTGACATCAAATTATTTGTCAAATTTATTTTGTAATGGTTAAATTAGGTTCAAATTTAAAATAAACTTATGAGGAAATAATCTATTTTTCATGCTAAAAAACAATCGATTAATTTACCGAGAACGTCACATCTCAGAAAAGTAGAAAATGTCGGATTGTGTACAAATTTCAATACATTACACAAAACTTAAATGTTTTTTATCCCAGCAATGCGCAGTTTCTTTTTAAATTATTATTTTTGTATTTGTTGCAATCATCTCACCTAAAATAACATTAATAAAGAGAAAAATAAGTTGTTTTAAAAAAAAATTGTTTATTTTGCGAAAAATCAAACGTGTCCATATGGACACGCTAAGCGTTAAGGTGTACAAATTAAATTAAATCTTCACTAATTTAAATAACAAACAGAAAAAGAAAAAAACAAGAAAGGACTTAATTGTTTTTGGGGTAACCCCTAAAGTAGTCGACGCAAAGGCCAACAGTACATGTGCAGCAAGCTGTTCGAACTGCGGAAGATTTAGTCATGCAGTACGGACCCACACATCTCCTCTTTTTCTGTTTTAGTAACAAAATGTTTCATTTTGTCAAAGCGCGAAGTGTTCGCTATCGCTGAACTAGAAGTACTAGATCTCCCTAGCCCTTTGGGTATAGAGTTATATTTGCTCAAATAATGTAACACAATCTCCCTTCTGAAATCAAGCGGTGCCCCTTTAGCGCCTGCTTTCCGTTGTAGTTGCCAAGCGTTGTGAATATAAGTACAAGTAGCGGCACGAAACTCTAGCGCTATACCCTATACCCAGCCTCCAGCTGAATAGGGCCCAATACCATTTTTTGCTTCTAATGTGTATTCGATTATATTTATATTCTCGTCCATACGATCGACGCCTCCCATGAACCGATTATATTTACCAAAAAGATGAGGACGTGGGACCTGTACATTCGTTTATCTTCCTCTGAATAACGCTCCACAGTACTCATGGGTCTAGTAATCTGAGGGAGATTACTAGAAGCAATAAACACTATACGCCATCTTCTTTGCTTATCGCTGACTTATAAAACCCTCTTTTTTTCTTTTTTATTTGCTTGTTTGTGGTGAGCTTCGGGCATTTTCGCAAACGACTTCACGTACGGAACCTGTCGCGCCATAGCCATAGCCATATCGAAGATAATTCAGCAACTACAGACTTGTGAAGAGGCATTCAAAATATCACTCAATGTTCTTTGGTTTTTGAATATTCCATAATCCATATACCTGATAACAAGAAAGCGGAAGCAAAGTAATGTCAGTTCATTCAAGTGCTTAGCGTGTCCATATGGACACGCGAACAAATTTGTTCTAAAACTCGATCGAAACAATGTTTTCACTTAGGTTATCATTTCAAACGTCAGATAACACTATTGACCACAATCCTATGCAAAAAGCAGTTAGCGTTTAAAATAATTTATAAGAAAAATGACTTACTTTCCACTGCCATCCATGTTTTTTCCAAAGTTCAAAATCAAACTAAAATTAGAACCTTATTTTACACGCAATACTCTCTCGCGCTAAAAAGAAATATCATTTGATACTTTGATAGTAGTTACATGGCATTGCCAAAATAAGAAAACAGTTAGTCTGACTACAGTCATCGCTTAAATTTTCTATACTGCATGTCCATATGGACACGCTAGGCATTGCTGGGAGATTACCACATCATACATAATACTATATCTACGGTATATGTTTCAAGCTATCTTATCTAAAACATACATAGACGCATTTCCGGCAGCAAAAATCACTTGGAGGTGTGAGGAATGTTCCAATCATTAATTAAGGTCCCCCGAGACTCCTGCATATTATCAGTATCATCAAATTCGGGCGACCGATTTTAAAGTCCAACCCCTAATCTTAATCAAATATTATAATGACGATGACAACAACGGTTACTATATACATTTAATATGAAGCATCCAGTTTAAATTATTTGTTATATAATATGATGAAAGAAAGGCACCAGATGAATGACTGTCTATATTTTATCTCTGGTTTTGATGTATTCGATGTCACCAGCATTGACAGCCAAATTGTATTATTGACATATATAGTTTTGATAATTGTCATTTCAGTCTTAAAAAGTTAAAACGTTCAATTTTCAAGTACAAACGTACATAGATTGTTTATGTTGTTTTATAAAAAGCGATAACGCTAGAAACGATAAAATTAAAAACGTTTACGTTTAAAGTAAATTTGTTTGTGTAAACACGTCTATTTTGTTTACATTGTGTAAACAGAACCGAAATGACGGTCGCTAATAATGAGTATCCGAAAGCTTCCAGTACGTAGCCTGGGCACGCCCTATTTACTTAAATACCTATGTGATATCAAACGAAAACAATAATAACTTATAGTATTTAACTGTTTTTAGATGCTACGTTGATTGGAGCTTCAATCACATATGTAGCGGGACTTTTTCTACTCTTGTCCTTTGCGGGGCCCTACTGGATAGAATCTTATTCAGAAATGTTCTCGTCTTTCAAACACATGGGCCTTTGGGAATATTGTTTCGATCGTTTTCGCTTTCCTTCATTTCAGTTTGACAAGCTATTCCATGGATGTCACTATATTTTTAGCCAGGTAACCCACACTACATTTTAATTTACTGAGAAATTATAAGTCAAAGGGATTTTTTGGGAATGCTTGCCTATGTCTTAAGAATAAATAATGATTATGAGAAAGGTTAAGTTTATGTAGCTATTGCACAAATTTATTAAACAATTGCATAAAAAACTTTTATTTATTATGCAACCTTTTTTAACTTATTTCAAATATAATTACAATTCACCTATGATATTCATCAGACACATTAAGGGCAAACAGATACTTGCATATTATGGTACCATTTAATAAAGCTAGATCATAATACTTGAATTTTACTGTTCTTTGGAGACACTGCCGAAATCATCTATATATACAAAATCTCTAACAAATACAGTTTAATCTCCATGTAACGTCACTCTATTTAACATAAACTGCATAAAGCACACTGCACAAATCACTTGTCTTTGATTAGTTTACCTTGTTTTCCAAACAATCCATCCATAATTCAATACATCATTTCTCAATAACAACATCTATTTTTTTTAAATTCTTACAATACTTACTTTTAAATTTCAAGGAGTACTATGTGATCCGTGAATGGTTATTACCGGGCTGGCTGATGGCTGTTCAAGCCTTTGTGACTCTGGCATTTATGTTATCATTTACGGCACAAGTTCTCTTGGCTTGTGTGATTATCAGGATGCCACTTCGTAATGTCTTAAGATATGAATGGATATATGTGTCTTCCGCATTTATTATGATTGCAGTTTCAAGTAAGTATTAAATAGTTCAGTACAATAGCTAATTCTTGTAAGGCATTCAGATAATTGAGTTGTTGAGGAAAACAAAATACAGATGAATGTATGTATGTACTCGTATGATATGTACTGATGTCAGGAATTGTTTATATTGATTATATTTTATAGAATGAAGCATAATTAAAATACAAAATAAAAAAAATTAAAACTTACTGTTCATTATTACAAATTTAACTTCCATAATCTTTCAAATTCTATAAACCTTAGAAATTATTGAATTTCAAAATAATTTAGATATACCTATTATATTACAGGTGCCTTCCTGTTACTAGCTGTAATTATATTTGGAACAAATTGTTACCGTCGCGATTGGTTGATGTACCCATCGTTCAATGTACTCTCATGGTCCTATGCATTTGCTGTTATTGCCTGTATTTTGTTTGGTATGTATTTTACTCAGCAAAGCAAAATTGCATTAATATACATTGTCAACAAACACATGTTTTATAAAAAGGTATTTTAATTCTGAATTTACAATGTAAAACGATTCTATAATTTAAATAAAACTTAATGCATATAAATATCTTATATAAATGAAATTTTTGCATTGTCTGGTGCTATATTTCTTATATTACATTGTATTGACAAACAACCAACCAATACTCAAAAAGGTTTGTAGTAATTAGAGTAATTTTTAAAGTTTATTCCTTGGACTCTGATGAAGGTTTTAATGGAGAGAAAAGTATTAGAAAAAACTCAAAACATAATATTATTTAGTATTATTTGTTTTTTTCTGGAAAAGCGAACATTCTCTGTCGAAATAATATCTTAAAGCATTATAAGATTATTTAATATCCAAATCTGACACTAAGATTTGGACCCTGAATGCAAAATTTTGTCTCTGGCATAAAAATTATTGGACTTATGACATATAGAACTTTACGCTAAGATTCCGAATCCAGTTTATAACATACAGAAGACATTTTGTCCACTTTGAAATTGAACCTAAGCTGTTTGTCCAATAAATGTTTCAGGTTTAGCAGCAATTATGCTGTTCTTCGAGTCCCGTAAGTTGTACCAACTGAGGCTTGAAGCCAAGAACTTGGTTGCTCAAATGCAACACAGCCAGCCCGAGCATGCCCTGCATCAGATAAGAGGTCAGTTGCAGCAGCAACAGCAGCAATTCGGATTTTATAGAAATTAGATGTTATTCACAATTTAAATCACAAACGTAAATAACTTTTTAAATTAATTACGCTTTGACACACTGACTTGATAGCTGACAACTGACAGCTGACATTTGATTGATGATAAATATGTATTATTTTTATGTTCTTTGTTTTTTTGTAAAATTATTGTATTGTTTGTGATTTTATGTGACTTATAAATTACGTTGCATTTTAAATATTAAAATGCAACGTTGCATATTAAAATGCCGGATTACGTTAGATTGAAATTAACCCTTAAGTTAAGTGTTAAAAGAAGAAAATTAATCCATCTCAAAATTGTCTTGAAATTGTTTTAGAAACTTCTAGAAACCTTTCTCTAATTCTGGACGTATTACTAAAAATGCTTAGCTTCATAAAGATCCAAGTCACTGAACTCAAACTAAAGTAATCTTTCGTCCCTTACTATCGAATTGTCTTTGCTGTAATGTAAAGAGACAGTTCGATCCTTGTCAAATATGTAATTGAACGCTTTTAATGTAATGGCTTTTAAGATTAACGAATCTCATTTAAAATATATTTTTGTTCTCATCTTTAAATGAATCCGTCCAAATGCTTTATATTTTAATTAGATGTAGGTATTAGATTAAGTCAATATGCATTTAAATATTTCCACCTGTTAAGGGTTTCTTAATTTGTTTGACAGTTAGTATTGTCTTTTATTGACATAACTTTTACACATTTGATAATAAAACAATTTTACAATTATTTTTCAAAATTTTAAATTTAACCGACCTTTCGCGTGCTTTACGCGTGGTCACGGTGACCATAACTTCAATCCGGTAAAAAATTGTTTTATTATCAATTGTTTGACACTTCTTAGATTTGACAATTGGCTGATTTTCTAATGGTTATTATAAGTACTTTAAGAACATTCCTCAAACTTCAAAATAGCACAGAGCACATCTATTAACTGTAATGTTCTTGTATTAAGAAGTTTTCAATTATAGAAAAATATCTTTTGATTCACATATAAAATTAAATTTTAATGTTAAATGATTGCTGGAGAATACCGGAGTACTTTCGGGTTTTGCATTTTTTACTAGCAATGATTTTAATATGTTATTTTATAATTAAGTTGGCGACATGAGCGCTACAGAATTGGGGTATTGAAATTTAATACAAAATTCTATTGGAACAAGGACTTGAGGTAGGGGCAAAAACCATATATCATTAATTTGGTACATGTTGCTATGTATTCATTATACTGTTAAGATCGCTTTGAAGTTTTCTTGGTTTGCTCATATGTACCTACTTCTATTTTTGCCTTTCCCCCTTCATTACCAGCTGGCTTCTCCCTTGTATTGGCAGTAGATGAAATGTACAGCCAAAAACATCTAATAAATGTTATACCATGCGTCTGTTATAGTGAAAGGTTGTACTATGTAAATTCCAATACAAATATATATCTATGGATATTGATAGGACATATAAATGGGATCAGTATATTGGAAGTTGCAGAATACCGACGCTGGTTAGAATATTTAGCTATATAAACAGTCAGCGTTATAAAAAGTTAAATAGTGATTTAGTTAAAACCGTTAATTTATAATTATTTTAATACAATAATACAGCCGTTTAAGGGGCGCTAAATTTATAATGATTGCGGCAACACTTAAGTGTCTAGAATAGACATTTGACATTATTCATAAAATCCATTAATTTAGATTTTCTGCCAAATACCTTGTTATTATAAAAACATCAACTTGCTTTTAATTGTTTTAGTTCAATCACAATCGAATGACGACTCATTGGTCTAGTGGTTAGTACCCCTGACTGCAAATCCATGGGTCCCGGGTTCGATCCCCGGCTGAGACGAACATCGATGTTATGAGCATTTGGTGTTGTGCTTAGGTCTTGGGCGTTTAAATATGTATTTATATGTCTATCTACTGATTTTATAAATAATTTCGCCATGTTTTTTTTTATATTTGTTATTAGCATTGTCTTAAATGAATTTTCATTTCTATTTTATTGTTAGCTGTAGTCTGTAGATTAATTTGTTTTTAAGTATTTCCATACATGTTTAATTTTAAATTTATGACTGGTTCATTTTCTTGCACTTTATGGTAACAGTGCTAATTTAGATACTTTGATTAAGCTTAACAAAATATATACACGAATGGATAATTATTATTATAATTTATTTAAAACAATTATTAGCTTGTAACGGGTGTCTCAGTAAGAGTGCACTTTTTAATTTTTAAATAAAGACAAGTATTTTATGACAGAGTTGTGATATTTTTATTGTATTATAAAGAAGACATGTTCCGATTAAGTATGGAATAAAATATCCGGCAAATGATCTCCACGGCTCCGATAACAGGCATTACACTTTTCATGAAATTTTCCATGACTTTTGGATTTCCGATTTGAGCTCAGGAATGGTTTCGAGTTTATTCCCATAAACTCGAGATTTCACAAAACCCTAAAGAAAAAATCGCACGGCGTTAAATTGCACGATCTTGGTGGCCAGTTGACATCAGAATTTTGTGAGATAATCTGTTCTGTTCATCGGAGAAAATGACCTTTTTCGAAAAATTGGCATCGACTTTACTTTGCTCCATTACTTATTGAACCAATTATCGATGCTTTTCTTTCCTTGGAGATCTTTAGTCAAAATTTGCTGCGTAGTGCTTTGTGAAATTTGAAGTTCATGAGAACGATGTCGAATTGATGTTTTCGGGTATTCGGCGACACTCTCGTTTACAGCAGCAATGTTTTCAAGATACTGACTGGTACGTTGACGCAAAGGATTCGCATTATCCATAATTGACCCAGTTTCTTCAAATTTTTTGACTACTCTTCGAATGGTTGACACATTAGGTGCACTTTCTCGGCTGAAAATTTGGTGAAGTTTGCGAGCGGTTTCAGGGTAACTTTCCCCATTTTTGTAATGAGTTTTCACAATTATAACGAGTTGTTCTTTCAAAAAGCGCTCCATTTTTAGTAATCGGAATAAACAGAGGTGACAGCTGTCAAATTTCAGAGTTGCCACTTGCATAAAAACAAAAATATTACAATTTTAAAAAGTGCACTCTTACTGAGACACCCTATATAAGGACACAGGGCGAAGATAAGTAAATGTGGCAGGCACTTGTGTGCGTAAGGAAGGATAAAAAAATCCACTTTTTTTAAATTTTCTTCGAAAAAAGGAGGAGTTTATCGCGTGTATTTTTGTGTAAATTCATAAGAAAATTTATTTTCGACTTTAAAAAAAATTTTTATATGGGTGCGTTCAAATATTACGTCATGCAATTTTTGGAGATTATTGACCCCCCCATGTAACGCGCCGTAACGTTTTTCTGTACCCAAACGTATTACTATATAATACGTTTCGTGACCACCTAGTGACTCTTTATACCTAAAAGTTAGCATTATGCGGTGTGCACTGGAAAGTCGAAAATAATATTAACAGTAACGCGTAATTCAAACCCCGCCCCACATCGTAACGTTTTATAATAGGACCCCCCCTCAAATTTCGTTACGTAACACTTGAACGCTCTTGATTTCTATTAATGTCATGTAGATTTACAATAACTCCAAGACAGTGTTAGAGTCCGCGCCACCACTCATTGCCGACGGAAAACCCTGGAACTAAATTTGTCGTTACAGTGGAATATTATTTTATTCGTTTTAAGGTGAAACATTAGAAGCAAATCTTGGAGACTAGTTCGCAAAAGTAGCAAAAATAGCCTTGCATCTAGCACTAGCAACATATTACTACGCCGCGCTACTCGCTAGCGCCGCGTCTATCGGCATTCAGTGGTGGCGCGGACTCTAGTCGTCGTTTCGATTAATCTGTGAACGTTTTGTGAATAATATGAATATTAGTTTTAATTATGGAATTTTTAATAAATAAATTATTAATTAACGCTTTTTGAAGCTAAAAACGCTAGTGCTGAAAAGGAAGTATCATTGTAGGTTATCTTAAAATGTCAGAATTAGCACTGATGTCAGACAAATTAGTTTTTAGATATGTGAGACTTGTGTTGTCTTATGTAACAATTTTCAGTATAATTGGTACAAAATATGTATTTTTGTAATAAAAATGTATTAAATAATTAAAATATTTTTTAAAACAATGTTTTATTTAATTACCTATTGTATAATCAATTGTCTCAAAATGTATGAGAATAACGGTTAATTTATATTAAAATATTATTAATTTCATAAAATTACATGAAAATTTCTATTAGTAAATTTATTTATTTGAGTTTTTTTTATCTAATGTGGATAAGTACCTGGTAGGTACATTATTACGTTTATAAATTGATCAGTCCACCCATTGGTAGTTTATATAGTCTTAAAAAAAATCGAATAATGTAAATTCATTCTCCACTCCATTTCAACACACAAACAATTACTCCAAAATCTGTTCAGCCGTTTAAGAGTTTAAATACGAACACATGCACAGTAGATTTATATATATACTAGTGGACCCCACAGACGTTGTCCTGCATGATATTTAAAGCGATTAGGATATTAAGCAAAGTATGAAAGTACCGACTGCAATGCCATCTGCCGGGCTGATTTGTGAATCTAAACCATTCCCAGATCCCCTTGAACACACACAAAAAATTTCATCAAAATCGGTCCAGTCGTTTGAGAGGAGTTCAGTCACATACACACGCACAGAAGAAATATATATATTAAGATATCAGCTGTCTATTTGCTGTAAAGATAAGTAACCTAGATACCAAGTGCAGCGCCATCTGCCGGGCTGATTTGTGAATCTTAACCATCCAGGGCGCCACACAAACGCATACAAAAATTCATTCAAATCGGTCCAGCCGTTTGAGAGAAGTTCAGTGACATACACGTACAGTATGTGTATAAATATAGAGATTTAAATATGTTCGTTATCTGTTTTAATCATAAATCAAAATTTTATTTATAGTCAGTCCCATTGGGGCATCAAACATAGACAAAAAAATTTCTTACCTTTTTTCTGGTATTTCTGGCTTAGCTCCAGAACATGCTCCATGGTGTTTTGTGGAATGTTGCCGTCAATTACAATGAGCGGTGTATTTTTCAATATCTCGATGTGTTTGTTTATCTAAAGCAGTTAAAAAATTTAAGTAGGTACTATCTTTTTGAAGTGAACCTTCGGGTAAAATTTTTACGGATGAAACACAATAATAATAATATTAGCGTCACGAAGTGCAGCATTTTAGTCGAAGGAAAGGGAGAGGCGATTGAGAGAATGAGAAAGGGCCAACGTAGCATGAAGCAAATAGCCATGGAGCGAGAGTAGGGAGCAAGCAACTGAGAAAGATCGAGAGAGAGAGTGAGATAGAGCGAACGTCGCATCACGCTGCGCCATGGATCGAGAGGTGGGAGAGAGAGAGAGTAAGGGAGATCGAGAAAAATACACGCTATTGGTTGATGTATTCGTTTAGAAATTACATATTAGAACTTTAGATGGCAATTCTGTCGCATAACGTCTTGTGCAGTATAGCACGTATACAGTGTGTAAACGTGTGAATATAGATATACAAATACATGGAGTGATCATATACTGGTACATGATCATCTATTTTGGCTTTTACCTTAGTAATAATTAATTTACAAAGAAGATTCACTTCTGACATGTGTACTTTGTACGCATGCTTTTTTTTTATCTAACGTCTATTAAGTTATACCACCGTACATGGACACACTGTCAGAAGACTTGCAAGTGCGTTGCCTTTTAAGAATTGGAAGGCACTTTTCTGCTAGGACCGTAAGTCAAATTGGTTCGGAAATACTTCAGTGATCAGCTGGTTCCACATAGTGGTGCTACGCTGCAAAGTGCCTTAAAAATCACTCAGCTGTGGAATGACGTCGAGGTGATACGGGTGGAATTTTGTATTCTGCCGCGACGACCTATGATGAAGCTTAGCTGCAGGTATTAATCAGAACAACTACTCTGAATACATGGTACTATAATATTAGGTCTGAAGGATTTTGTGTATGTATAAAATTAAAAATTTGGAGTTATCTAGCACATTATTTATAAATCCTACAGATATAATTTCTCTTAACAGAAGAATTAATTCTATATAAAATATTCAAAATTAAATTTCGTCGTAATTAGACAAAAGAAATACCGGAACTTTAGGTTTGGCGGCCGAGATCCGAACTCCGAACGGCAATTTATTTATTTATCCAACAAAGTAGTCACTGATACATGCATGTAACACAAACACAAGCCAAGTGCTACCCCAATTATAGGCGCATACAACATTCTAATTATTATGAAGCTTATAGACTACAAATTACAAATTAAGATAAAATACAATAAAAATAAAAACATTACAAAATTAATTGAATATCCCTGATAAAATCCTAATTACTAATCAGTTCAGCCGCTAACTTTTTGAGGATTGGTGAGGAGATTGAAAAAATATCTATTTGGGGGAGTTTACGACCCCTCACTGCGATCCAATACCACCATCAATTTCAGCGTTATGAATTGAATTATAACTCCTTAAAGATCTATTTAATGGAGCATTCTGACTTAATTCTAAAAGGATGCTTTGTAAATTGTTGCAGCTTTTTAGGAATAGAGATGTTTACTCTGGACAAGACACCTCTGCAAGATACCTCTGCAAAAGAGTTTTTTACGCCGGCTTTTTCTCTCGGCCTACACCCTCTGTCTTCTTTGCCGATGAGTAGGGATGTCTACCGATACAAATTTAATGACGTGGAATAAGTGGAACCTGTATCTTATATTCCGTAATAAACATATTTTATTTTTAATAAACTTACCAATTCTGGCGAAATATGTCTATGTACTTCCATGTCACCCAAGCCGATGGTGCACTCTCCTTTCTTGTCAAATATTGCAGCGTATGTTGCGGTGGAAGATTCTTTCGTGAAGCAACCTGTGAAGAGAACTATATAAAACGAAATTCTACATGATTTTTACACGACACGATTAAAGATATCTAATACTCCGGATGTTAAGTTAGTCCTTCACAGACGTCCTTCTCATAGGTCTTTCGGCATCAGTACTCCATGTCATGCTTGATCATGTTTGCTCCATCACCAAAAGTAAATAATGCATCGGTTTTCAGCGCCCCAAGAACTTCTTGAGTACCCATACAATTTAACGACAACAATTTTTTCATGTATTTTATAGTTGCAAAAATTCATTCATACAAAGGCAGTGTTAGTCTAGTGGCTTCAGCGTGCGACTCTCATCCCTGAGTTCGTAGGTTTGATCCCCGGCTTTGCACCAATGGACTTTCTTTCCATGTGCATTTAACATTCGCTCGAACGGTGAAGGAAAACAACGTGAGTAAACCGACATGTCTTAGACCCAAAAAGTCGAAGGCAGTTTTTTGTCAGGCACAGAAGGCTGATCACCTACTTGCCTATTACATTGACAAATGATCATGGAACAGATTCGGAAATCTGAGGCCCAGACCTAAAGAGGTTGTAGCGCCACTGCTTTATTTTTGTTATTTTTACGAGTACCATATACCCTCACCATCAAGTATTAATCCAGGTGCGATGTTATGCAAAAACCGCCCGTCAGCATCATCACCAACAGCTGTGAGCAGCTTGGCTCGGCCTCCGGTGAGTCTCCACAGAGCCTCTGCGATGTTACGGCCGACTCCTCCACCGCACTGCTCAGTTGTACACGCATGCGTGCTGCCATCAAGCTAAAAAAATATTTAAACATGTCATATTGAGGGGAAAAGCTATAAATAAATCTAAAAAAAACAGTAAGATTATTAATACTAATCATCTAATCTCTATGTATTTTTTGTTCCTAAATAATCTTAGGTATTATTAATATTTTTATTAGTCATTAATGCCCATTGAAACCCATTTTAGTGGTTGCGTTGCCGGCCTTAGAGGTATTATAGTTAAACAATTGGAGGTATCTCCTAGGGAAGACCCCCAACGCGAGTCGATTCCGTAGTTGGCTAGTTCGCAAAAGAAATTATTATTATTATTTATTTATTAGTTCAGATAAAATAATCAATCATTATGTTAATATAAACTTACGGACTAATGTTAGTATATTATTATTAAAAAGCTAAACTTAAAACCCATGAAACATTCTATGCATATACACTCGTCGATCTGAACCGACAAGTGTACACACAAAAATAAAATGCTTCATGATAAGCAAAGACAGGTTATCTGCCACAGTCTTCAAGATGCTGTTCTGACAGCCTCATACCCGGCTCAACAGAGATCTTGTTTTAATTCTAATAATAGCCCAGAAGTCATTTATACGGGCTTGGGTGAACATCTCCGAAGCACTGCAGAAACGAGGCAGTCCCAAGAGCATCCTAAACGCATTATTGTATTGAACACGCATGGCAGTTAGCGACCTGACAGTACAGTTGACCCATTTGAAATCTGGAGTTTATACGGCTCGTAAGGTGACGAGGCAAGAGGGATCCACCCAAAAAAGCTCTTCAGAACACTCTCCATAGTACACTACTACATGTAGAATACGTATAGAGACGCAATGTCTCTGCGTAGAGAGAGAGAGAATCAAGCCGAGATATATTGGAGATTGGGAATTCGACAAGCCCTTCGCTAAATTAAGTCAACGGGAATAAGTTGATATTTGGGAGCACCGTCCCAGTACTCCATATGAGCCTGCTAGAGCTGCATACGTTGTACCTCAGTTAAATACTGCTTAGCCCTACCAAAAGAAACCAGCTTTCTTCCAGATGTTTTTTTTATTTTTTTTTATGTATGTTTGTAGGCAAACGGACAGGAGGCTCACCTGATATTAATACAGCCCATGGACACACTCACATTGCCAGAAGGCTCACAGGCCTTTTAACTATTGGCGTTCTTTTCTTGAAGGACCCTAAGTCTGGTTCCACTATATGGAAAAGCGCGGCAAAAACCGCGGTGGACATCGAGGCGGACATCGAGGTGATATTATGGATGGTATTTCATATTCTGCCTTGACGTCCGATAATAAAACCAACTACGAAATCTAATAGTACCTAATTAGTACCAGTACAACCCTATTTTGGTGTGTTAGTCTTGGCTTCAACTGTTTTTTCATAGACAAGTATTATAGATGCCTTAAATGACCTTCACCATTTGCAGTACCTATTAATTGCGCACAGATTAGTGTTGGCCTGCGTTCAGTGTGCGAGTCTCATCCCTGAGGTCGTAGGTTCGATTCCCGGCACTGATAATAATAATTAATTGCGAACTCTCAATAACACCGGTGTTTGATATATATTTGATTATAAACAAGAAAGTGCTCTTTACAATGAGTAATGCTGCACTTTAAACAGGTGTCAAACATTGACCAACTGCTGATACGGCTCACGTGTGTGAAGAATCTTAACATCTGAAGGTGCGCAATACACCAACAGCTCACTAGAATAATATCATGTATGTGTGAAATAGGTGTAATTAATATTTAAGATTATGTTTTTGAATAATAAATTATATTTGAATATTGCTCTGTTATTCATTTCTCGCTTCCTCTCAAAGTGGCGAAGACTACTTCAAGCCCTTAATTATTGAGGTGATGCCCGATAGCTTTGGGATAATCCCACCTCGAACCTTTGATCCTACCCGTAGGGCTCCGTCTGTTACCTTAGGTCTCTCGGTGCAGACATCCCATACGTATTTATATATTCACTATTTATGTGTTAGGGTACGTCTGTAGGGCTTAGGGATCCGTAGGATTGTGTTCTTACACCCTCTCATATATTTAGTTATCTAGTGCAGTTTGCTCATACATACCTACATTACATATATTATACAAATACTCCTGAAATTTTTTTTTTAAAAAGACAATTCACACCAATTAACCTAGTCCCATGCTATGCTGGTGAAGCTTGTGTTATGGGTACTAGGCAACGGATATACATACATATTATAAATAGATAGACATATAAATACATATTTAAACGCCCAAGACCTAAGCACAAAACCAAATTAAGCATTTGAGCATCACATCGATGTTTGTCTCAGCCGGGGATCGAATCCGGGACCCATGGATTCGCAGTCAGGGGTACTAACCAATGAGTCGTCAAATATTGACATTCAATACATATAAATTTTAAACACACAATTCACAGTCCACTGGCTAGCAAGATGTACAGGTGTCAAACTACAAAGTTTTTTTTACCCTTATTCAGAAACGAGAAATTATTGATATGACTTTATCAAAATCCATTACATTTTTGAAGGAAGACATACTTAGCGCGTTTAATATTCGAGCTTATCTTGTTTCGAAGCTTTATTTTCTTTTAAGTTTTAGTACAGTTAAGGATAAGCACGAAACAAACCCTTTGTTTCAGAGAACAGCAACTTAATTAAGACGAACTCATGAACTAACTAGTAAAAGGTTTTGAACTACTTTCTTTATCCACGGTTAACTTGGTCTAGTTAACCGACATCAAAAAAGTTTAACGATTTGACCTGATTGTGATACTTTTTAATTAAGAAGAGAAGCTAAGATCTTCACCAACCGCTTCGTCCCATGTTGGTAACTGTGCCTATAATGCACCTGCCCCAAGGGCTTCAGGGGTGTCGCCCCATGGTCTGAACAATCATCATCGCTCGCCAGAAGTCCTCGACTTACAATGCAACCAATTCTCGAGCGAGGACCGCGCCGTCTTTCATTCGAGCATGATAGTATTAGTCTCCACCTCGTACCGGTTTTAAATTGAGACTAAATAATTTACCCGTGGCTGCTGTACTCCTTCGATGCCGATCCCCCTTCCGATGGTGTGTTGGTTCCCGCTAATACAGGGCGGTACGAGGGCGGTCGATTCCCTTGATGGGGGCTTCAGCGCACGAGGAGAAAAGAGATGCTCTCACACACGATTCTGGACTGCATTTATTATTACGGTTTCATAGGAGGTAGCATGCTTATACTGTTTTGGCGTTTAATTTTGTCGGAGACTGTTTTTGATTGTTTGTGTATTTGTGATATTAATATAAAGCAAGGACGTAAAATAACCTTTATTCTTGACAAAAGGGTGTGACAAAATTCATATATCGCTAGTCCCTGTGTTGTGGGCCACAACACAACTTGTGGGTAACTAGATAATAATTATCCCTTAGTACATGGTAAATGTTTAAAAGTTTTTAAAAATTATGTTAGTGTCACAACAAAGTCTTATAAGACATTAAGTATGCGTGAATGTGTGTGTGTGAATGTATTTGAGAGTGTAGATGAGAGTTGTCCAAAGAGATTCCAATTATAGTCCCAAACAGGCGTTTGATTGGTGACAAGGAAAGCGGAAGCGTGGCTGTCCATAGCAAACCTGGCGTTGTACAGTTGCGGATGAGGTCCTCTGCCCCATAGGGTTATAGGATCTACGCTGGCTTAATTAGCCAGGACTTGGTGCACAACGGACCTTACAAAGAACAAGTCGTGCTATAACCATTGCTTTTGGCTTTAGATTTCTTTCTTAATCCTTTTAGTTGCCTGCCGTCGATTTTGGTTCTACACCGTTCGAGAGAGTGGTGCATTGTGAACGCACGTTTTCAGGGTTAAGTTAACAATACTCCATTTTGTCCCCTTGTTTATATATAAATGGTGCTTTAAGGTTATATTTCCTGGTCGTACTTGAATTCGTGTATGCGGTGATGTTAGTTGTTTCGACTATGTGTTTGCGTGTTGTTCCCACGAGAATGTAATTGCGTGCTCCTATTTCACCACGCCTCCTGCTGATACAGGTCAAATCTTTGTTTTTAATTTATTTTATTATCATTTATTACTTAAGATGTCATGTGGAACATGGTGAAATGGTTGCAGCTCCTTACAAACGTTGTGTAAAACAAAAATCTTGACGATTAAAAAGAGTGGCGGAGAGTTTATTGCCAGTAGAACGGAACTTGATTTGAGAACTGGCAGTAAATGTAAAATTAGAATCATTTAATGTATATTCTTTTTTGACGTTCATAAGTGTACATTGTGTTACGTACATGAATAAATGATTTTTGACTTGACATGGGCGTTGTAGCGTCGAATCTATCCTCTGTCTATGTCTGTCAATAATCTATAATCCCAAAATTAATTACATCACTGGGTAGCCAAAGGATCAAAGAATTACGATAAGCGAGAACAATGACACCTCGCACGCCGTCAGGGGGAAGTGCCGCCATTATGCTTAGCTGCGTATCGAAATTTGCAATATAACTTTTGAATAGGTGAGGCCACGATGTTCGTTTAAGTTCACCTGTCTTCAAAGTCTATTATAACCCGTTACATAAACGTATTCACGCCTGCCAGCCAGTAAAGGCTAGTTTTAGAAAGGTCGTTGTCCTAGCATTTGGGGTAGTTTTTCCTTTGCGCCTGGACAAAATCAAATTGGTTGCTGATTTTTTGCTATTACATATTTTTGTTATTTTTATTTTATAATACTACAAAATGTAATTATTTTATTTTTATCTTACACACTGTTTTATTGTGTTCTTTTTTTATTACTCTTTAATGTATAATAAGCGGTTTCGATATTTGTAAATATGTGAGGAACATGTATACTAACTTTTTTTAGTATAGTAGTTTTATTCTAGGAGTACATTGTCTTCACATATAATTATTTAACTCTACACAATATTGTAAACCTTTTTTAAAAGAGTAAGCGTGGAGTTTCTTGCCCATTCTTCTCCACACGAAACTACCTTTTGGAAGGGCAACTCGAATCATGTTTATATTTTATTTGACGTTCAAAAGTGCCATTTTGGGTGGTCTAATTGAAATAAATGATTTGACTTGACTTGACGATTACTTTGTCCATTTAAAGTCTAGGCATTATACTAACACCAGAATAGTTATTAGATATAATATAGTCAAGAGAGAAGATCGTAAACGCGAAGCCACATTAAGCAAGTCTAATCTTATCAATGAATGACTGTATTACTCGTTAATTCGCTTGTTCGAATCAGGGCCCAGGGGAGTACTTATTGCATATAATATAACGTTATGTTGGCGGTAATAGCGAGTAAGCTGGATTTCCTATAGTCATTACATGTGCCCTTTTTATATTTATGATTTAATATAGTTTAAAGAACAACATAATATTTAGAACAATATTGAAACCCAATATTTACTGATAAGGACTTATGCTTGTGTGATTGAATAAATTAATTATTATTTTATTATATAAATATTACCATTTATTTATGATCTAACAATAAAATTCTCGTGTCACAATGTTCGTTCCTATACTCCTCCGAAACGGCTCGACCGATTCTTATGAAATTTTTATGCATATTCAGTAAGTCTTTCCAACCCCTAAATGTTAAGGGTGGTCCCACCCCTAAACTTTATTTTTTTATGATACAGCATATACATACATACAATCCTTAATTTTAACCCCTCTACGATCAACCCCTATTGTTTTATTATAGTATATAGTTATTTTTATTGAACTAAAAAAATGTTTCCTAGAAATAATATACATGGAAAAACGACGTTTGCCGGGTCAGCTAGTACTATATAAATTCCTTTAAAAATAAGAACAGACTTAAATACACTGTAGTGGTTTTGTATTTGAGTTTAATTCCAAACACCGTGACACGAGAATTTTATTAGACTAGCAGACCGGCTAAGCGATGCTGTGGCTAAGGTTTTAGTTATATTACATAGTAGTAAACTATTCAAGGAAACGGTAGGAGAACACCAGTCATGGGGACCACCATGCTTTATTTGTGGTTATGCCATTAAATTGTAGCTCATTTGAAAAGTTGGTACTTTCAACACAGCGCCATCTGTTAGAATTGTGACTATCAAATAATAAACAAATATTTTGCAATAAAATAATATTGCGGGTATAAATTGAGATGTTAGCTATCCTGTCTTTTAAGTTAGATCAAACTGCACACGGTGTGCAAATTTGATTGATATCGGTTCGGTAGTTTAGAAGACCATAGCGGACAAACAAAGTGACAC